GAGGCACAAATACATGAGAACTTGGGGATCCACTGAGGTCTGAGGCATGGTGGTACCAGAGGAGATGAAGGGGCTTTCGGCATGAAGCTGGTCCCCGGTTGACAGCACGCTGATTTTCCCATTGGGCTCTATCAACATGTCCACTGTCAGGTTGGTGACACTATCTGTAGGTGGGAATGCTTCGATCACACCCCCTGGTGGGAAAAACATGGAGTAGGTAAAAGGACACATTCTCAGGGACTGTGCCCATTTGGAGCACGAAGGAAGCACCTAGGCTTTGGTTGGCTTGGGCTCACATTCTGCATCTGCCATGTCTTGGGAGACTTTGGGCAAGTAGCTTACATTCTCTGAACTTATTTTTCTTTGTCTGTAGCATGTATAATAAAGCCTACCTCATTAGATCCTTGTGAATCTTAGACATACTCTATGTATCTGTAGTATTTAGCCCATTGCTTGGCATATTGTAGGGCCCAATGAATGGTAGTTTTGATTCTGATTATAATTTGAAGACTCAGTGAAGATCACTGTGTCTATGCCCAAAATTCATTCAACAGTGAACGCAAGCATTATGGTCAAATCCCTCATGGGGAATTAACTGCCCATAGTCCACAGTTGGCATCTTGATGACCAATGTGCTGTTTTTGGTAAACTTCACTGCTTTTTGAAGGTTTCACAGGTTTGGGCTTTTTGCAGAGAGAGAGAACATTGACCATCATGTCAGCCAAAGGACTCCTATATAAAGCTAGTTATGAAACATTTAAAAAATATAGAACCAAGAGATATTGCTGTGTTTGAAGAACACGTATGCTCTCTCTGCTGATAATGGGAGCTTTATAATTTATTACATTTTATCTGTTGCTTTGAATGCCCAAAATCATAGAGGCAAGTCCGATGTTCAACCACAGCAACAACATTTTTCTGGCTAATTTGTGGGCTAGCTCAGTGGTGTCCACAAATATCATATAGCCCCAATCTTCTGTTTCTTAGGCCCAACTTACAAATCTTACTGTATATGTCCTCTTTGTAGAGAATAAATTTAAGATATTATTTGTAAAGGGTTAGATAACTTAATTTAAAAGTGAAAACAAAGTGTTGCATAGGCAGATGCCATCTGGAACCCGACAGCAGTAAGAGAAACTTGGGAAATCTGTATTTCACAAATGTGCTGGTGTAAGTGTGACCTCTACCTATAGTGGTAAGCCACAGACTTTGAACAGCATAGAAAGAAAAAAAAATGAGCAGTTCTCAAACACAGTCATCTGTTACTTCATACAAAAAACACTTTCCTTAAATGTCTATCAATTTGGTCAGAGGTGGTCCTAATGAACACCAAGTTTCAGAAGGAAAACTGATTTTGGAGGGTACATATTCAACCCCTAATTTTTCGATTTGGTTGGCTGGAGACATTCTTTTCTTCAAATGAGGTCGATTCTTGCGTGCTCTACCTAAATACCAGTCACTGGGGGATTTAGCAACGTAAATGCAACAATGACAAAAATCTACAAAAGCAAAAAACCTAGTGAGTCTCTATTCTTTAGTTAACTTTGTGGCTTTAGCTGTCACCTATGTTTTGAAAGATAGTGCTTCAGTGGAAACGCACTATCATCTGTAACTTACAAGATTACTTGGGTATTTTATTTCTGTGAAGCTTATTTGTACTATCTTCTCCGCATCATGACCATAACCTTTTCATTGTTATTTTTTTCCACTCAAAGCAATTAATTCCTCTTCTGAAAAAGGTGCCACAAAGTGAGACCCTATCGCTTCAAAAAAATTTTAAACAATAAATTAGCTGGGCGTGGTGGTGTGTGCCTGTAGTATCAGCTACCCAGGAGGCTGAGATGGCAGTATTGCTTGAGATTGGGAGGCAGAGGCTGCAGTGAGCTATAATGGTGCCACTGCAATCCAGTCTGGTATGACAGAGTGAGACCCTATCTCAAAAAATTTAAATTTAAATTTAAAAGTACTCCTTTTGATATAAACCTATGACAATTTAGAAATCAAATCTGTAGCACATTTTGTGGCCATAAGCACACTGGAGAGAATATAAATGGAATGAAACAGGCAATGGTGGTGGAAGCTGGAGGGAGGGAGATGCTGAACTTAGAGTTGGGACACCTGGGGGACAACCTGGCTCAGTCAGGGACCACTGATGCAGGTCCTGCTGTCTGTACTGGGTTGAGAGAAAGGCAGAAGCTTTGAAAACACATGACTTTCAAGAACCAGGTATTAAAATGTGCTAAAATTTTGTGTTCCATTTACCACTTATTGGTTGTGTTGCCCAAGTCCCGCCCGTCTCTGAGCTTCAGTCTCTTCATGAAGAAAATTGAGTTAATAAAGCTTATACAGCCCTCCATAAATAAGCATGGCTGAGAAAATACGATAAAGATGGACAGGAGGTGGAGGTGAAGTCTTAGCTTGTGGTTATATAGCTCACATGAGATAGTCTCTGGGAAAGCCTTTCTCATTTACACGGCTCACATGAAAATAAGCAGTTTGGGGGAAGGCTTTTGCAGGCTGATGCTGGAAGATCTGGAAACTTCTTAACACCCTGACCTGGACGGGCTGGAGATCATCATGGTCTTCCCCGCATAACTTTTTTTTTTCTCCCCAAGAAGGAGTCTTGTTCTGTCTCCCAGGCTGGGGTGCAGTGTCACAATCTCAGCTCACCACAACGTCTGCCTCCTGGGTTCAAGCGATTCTCTTTTCTCAGCCTCCTGAGTAGCTGGGATTACAGGCGCACACCAACATGCCTGGCTAATTTTTGTATTCTTAATAGAAACGGGGTTTTGCCATGTTTGCCAGGCTGGTCTCGAACTCCTGACCTCATGATCCACCTGCTTCTGCCTCCCAAAGTGCTGGGATTATAGGTGTAAGCCACCAAGCCCAGCCTTCCCCGCATAGCTTTTTTAAAAAACCTTATTCAGCTGGGCATGGTACGCCTGTACACCCAGCACTTTGGGAGGCTGAGGCAGGCAGATCACAATGTCAGGAGTTCAAGAACAGCCTGGCAAACATGGTGAAACCTGATCTCTTCTAAAAATACAAAAATTAGCTGGGCATGGTGGCATGTGTCTGTAATCCCAGGTACTCAGGAGGCTGAGGCAGGAGAATTGCTTGAACCCAGGAGGCGGAGGTTGCAGTGAGCCGAGATCGCGCCAGCCTGGGCAACAAGAGTGAAACTCCATCTCAAAAAAAACAAACAAACAAACACAAAAACACCTTATTATTGATCTTTTTTGTGTATGGTAGCTACTTGATTTTCTTCCATTTATGCATGGGGTTGACTTTCTTTACTTTGACTAGTCTGTCAGTGGGTACATGTGAAAATTTATAGAATCACAAAATTTTAGAGTTGAAAGGACGTTGGAAGCTGTCTAGCACAAGTGTCCTCTGCAAAGATTCTCTTTTCAGCAATCTTGTTAGACGGCTGCCATTCAACCCCTTACGTAAATAATTCATTAACGGGGTGTCCAGTACAGCCTGCCCAGCCGGTGTATTCCAACAACCAACAGATCTGTCCTTTCTAATCTTCTCTCATACACTGAGCTAAGATATGCCCTGATAAATGTACCTACTGGCTCTGCTCAAGACTCCTGGAGCAGCACAGAGGTGGCTTTTAATGGGCTCTTCCATGTGTTAGCAGAGTGATTAATGCTGATATTATCATCACTTGACAGTAGTGGAAAGATGCCTTCTGTGGTCTGTTACACTAACCCTCTCTTCTGGTGCATGTGGGTAAGAATATAATAGCTGTCTTGCAATGTGACCTCCTAGAGAGTGGGCTGTAGCATGGGCATGCCCCTGTGTAGCACCCCCACAGGGATCTCTGAGATTGTAGGTAGGCATCATTCACCATTCATTCCCTCATTCATGGACCACCCAATGTTGTTAGAAAATGAGGATGAAGGAGGAGGAGGAAAGGAATGGAGGCTTGCTTTGTTCCTGGACTGTAGCGAACCCTTGTTTGAAAATGCTGTATTCGGAACTGGAAGTGAGACCATTTCTGCTCTCCTAGAAAACAGAAGGAGAAACTAACATTTTATTTTTTTTTTGAGATGGAGTCTTACTCTGTGACCAGGCTGAATGTTTTCAGCCATTTCAGTTTTCATATTTCAAAAGTGATTTGACTCCCTAAAAACTGTTAATTTTTTTTTTTTTGAGATGCAGTGGTACAATCTTGGCTGACTGCAACCTCCGACTCCTGGGTTCAAGCAATTCTCCTGCCTCAGCCTCCCAAGTAGCTGGGACTACAGGCATGTGCCACCATGCCCAGATAATTTTCGTATTTTTAGTAGAGACGGGGTTTCACCATGTTGACCAGGATGGTCTCGATCTCCTGAAACTGTGATCCGCCCACCTCAGCCTCCCAAAGTGCTGGGATTACAGGCACGAGCCACTATGCCAGGCCCTGAAACTAATACCTATTAAAGATGATTTTGTGTCAGGTTCTGTGGTAGAAACTTTCGTATCTGTGTTTCATTAGGTCCACCCAGTGACCCTGTAAGGTAGGCAAGTGAGGAAACTGGGCCTCGAAGGGTTTAAGAACCTTGCTCAAGCTCATAGACGGGATCCAGACCCAGGTAATCTGATTCCAAAGCCCACCTCTCAGGAGGAGTTTGTGGTGTCAAAAAAGGTCTGAGATCTGGAACTCCACATGCCATGCTTGGCATGCTAGGTTCCTATTTACTTAAGAGGCTGGGTGTAAGATAAATATTTAGGCAACATTTAAAAAAGAAAACTGTAGGAGCTCTTTACTAAACCAACACAGGAGACGCAAGTATTTAAATTGGCCCCAGTTGACCCAAAACTAGAATCCAAGGTTGAATAGACTAATCCTCAATAGAAACTCTACAGTCTTATTTACCTTGACTGAGAAATGTTTGGAGGAATTTCCTCCATGTCGGGAACCGTTTCTCATTGACTGGCTGTGCGTGCTGTGCTAAAATGCCCGCCAGCTCCTCGGAGATCTTCACCAAAGCTGGCTCCTGCAGAAACAAATTAAATAGAACCACAAGCAATTTTACTACAGAAATGAAAACTGCTTGTGGAGTGATTAAAAACCAGGCCTCCAACAGGCAAAAAAAATGTGGTTACTGTTTACCCAGAGTCAGAAAGCCATTTTGAAAATGTTCTCTCTTTTTTCAGCCATTTCAGTTTTCATATTTCAAAAGTGATTTGGCCCCCTAAAAATTGTTAATTGTGCCTGTTGTCTCTGAAAGGCACTTTTCTCTCTGGGCATCAGGAAACCAGGTCTCACACCCACTGCTGCCGACAGCCTGACTAGCAGAGTGTCCTTGGGCAATAGCCTTCCCCACTCTGGGTCTCAGTTTCCCTTTATATAAAATGTGGGATTGAGTGTTTACTTTTTTTTTTTTTTTTTTTTTGAGACAGAGTTTTGCTCTTGTTGCCCAGGCTGGAATGCAATGGCATGATCTTGGCACACCGCAACCTCCACCTCCTGGGTTCAAGTGATTCTCCTGCCTCAGCCTCCCTAGTAGCTGGAATTACAGGCATGTGCCACCATGACTGGTTAATTTTGTATTTTTGGTAGGGATGAGATTTCTCCATGTTGGTCAGGCTGGTCTTGAACTCCTGACATCAGGTGATCTGCCCGCCTCAGCCTCCCGAAGTGCTGGGATTACAGGCGTCAGTTACCGCACCCGGCCACCTCCATATAATAAATTTTTTTTTTTTTTTTTTTTTTGAGACAGAGTTTCCCTCTTGTTACCCAGGCTGGAGTGCAATGGCGTGATCTCGGCTCACCGCAACCTCCGCCTCCTGGGTTCAGGCAATTCTCCTGCCTCAGCCTCCTGAGTAGCTGGGATTACAGGCACGTGCCACCGTGCCCAGCTAATTTTTTGTATTTTTAGTAGAGACGTGGTTTCACCAGGTTGACTGGGATGGTCTCGATCTCTTGACCTTGTGATCCATCTGCCTCGGCCTCCCAAAGTTCTGGGATTACAGGCGTGAAAAAATGTTTTTTAACATTTTTTCAGACAGGGTCTTGCTCTGTCACTCAGGCTAGAGTACAGTCATGTGATCATAGCTCACTGAAGCCTCAGTCTCCTGGGCTCAAGTGATCCTCCTGCCTTAGCCTCCCAATTGGCCTTGACTACATGTGCGTGCCATGCATGGCTAATATTTGTAGAGATGGATCTATGTTGTCCAGGCTGGTGTCAAACTTCTGGCCTCAAGGAGTCCTCCTGCTTCAGCCTTCTAAAGTGCTGGGATTACAGCTATGAGCTACGGCATCCAGTCATCTTCCATCTCTTTAATCTGTGCTGTTTCCCCCTTGTTGGTGGATGTCTGCGTCCTACAACTTCATCATCAAAGCCTTAAACTATGGGCTGAGGCTGTAAAGGTGGGATTTTAGGTAGGGATGAGTTGGAAGAGTTAGGTGGGAAGGAGTATTGGGGCCAGCCTCAGTCTGCCTGAAATCCCCCCTAGGTCACAGTCTCAACTGTCTGGATGTGAGGCTGGCCCCATACCATCTATAAAACAGCCCAAAGACTGAAGGGCCTCCTGTCAAAATGAAATCAGTAGGGAATCCTCTAGTGAATAAGAAGTCTGGCTTTTGATATAAAAAGCCTTGGTTTGCCGGGACATATTTTTTTAGATGTCCTAAGTTGTGATGCTCTTCCTCTTAGATTATCTAAACATTTTCAAATAGAAGCCACCTCTTCAGATTTTATTTCTGCCAGAAGTGAGGCAGGGTACTTGATAGAAACTCATGATAGACAATATTCATATTCAAAATATGGGGCACTGACAAGAAAAACTCAGATCTGCTTTAGGTTGCAGGGGAACTTCTGAATCTCAGTGATGGCTCAGTAATTTGGAGGAGTTGGCTTTGGGGGTGGGATTGGAATATAATCAATTATACATATGCTGGACACAGTGGCTCATACCTGTAATCCCATTACTTTGGGAAGCTGAGGTGGGGAATCATGAGTTCAGGAGTTCAAGACCAGCTTGGCCAACATGGAGAAACCCCGTCTCTACTAAAAATACAACAACTAGCTGGACATAGTGGTGCCAGAGAATTACTTAACCTGGACCCAGGAGGCAGAGGCTGCAGTGAGCCCAGATCACGCTACTGCACTCCAGCCTGGGCTACAGAGCAAGACTGCATCTCAAAAAAAAAAAAAAAAAAAAATCCTACACACTTATTTCCAATTTCCCTACCATTAAAAAGTGATTGTCCTCTATGCACTGCCCACCCCAACTCCTTGGAACAGCTGGTTGATTCTAGGTCCAGTGCCCACTGACAATCCACAATAGAAGACAAACATCTGACATTGTGCTCTCGGCAGGTTCAGAAAATCTGAATAATTTCTGAAATATCCAGAAAATCTTGGTGGGAGAGTTTCATTAGTTGTTTTAGTAAGTGCTTGACATACAAAACAGAAATGCCATGAGAAGTGGAGAGTGCCCTGGCTCACACTCACTTGCGGATGAGTCCCTACACAGTGGGAGAAGGTCTGTTAAGAAGGGCTGGGGAAGTGCTCATGCAGAGAGCTCTGCCTTGTGGTGCAGAGGCAAGCAGAACTGCTGTCAAAGCAATGGGCCTTTCCCCTCCCTTCATATCCCATACGCTGCGCACATTTTCTCTGGTCTTTACTGTGAATTACCTGATCGCCCCAAAGCCGTATATCTAAATTATAAACAAGCGTGTGGGAGGTGCAGCTCCAGCAACCTGGACTCCTTATTTGTTCCTTCTCTGCACAGTCCCCCAAACCCATCTTTGTTTTGTTTTACACTTGTTTCAGTTAAAACCATTCCATTTTATCAAGGAAGACCAATTGTCTCTGATTTATGAAGCGCCCCAAAGCTGGGACAATGAAACACGGCAGGGTTGAAGTCCCACTCTTCTCTGGAAAACAGAATGGCAAGGAAAGAAAGTCTCATAGCCCAGGCCCTCTCTCAGGAAAGTGGGAATTTCTTTGTTCTGTCTTGATTAAATGGCCTTTTCTGCCCCACTGCTGGAGAATGTGAAATCATCTGCCCGGTTATACACTATGTGGTCATTCATACCAAGAGAGTCTAAAGAGAAATTGTTCATTCATTCATCTATGTATCAAAAATTACAGAATATCAGGTCTTTTAAACAACTGAACTAGAAAAAAAGTGGTTATGTATTTTGGGTTCTTTTGGGGTTTTTTTTGGTGTTGGAGAGAGGGAGAAAAGGTGGCAAAGGAGCAGGTAAAAGCCTTGCCACCTAAATCTTGAAAAATCTCTTTCAACTTTAGGATCAAGTCGAAACTCCTCAACACAACAGATGCAGAAGGTCCTCGTGATATGACCTCTGACTCCTAACAGCCTCACTTTCCTGCCCAGCTCCCATCCTTCCCCTATTAGGTCCTCCTCTGCCTCCCTGCTTTCTTTTCCTCCCTTTGCTGACTCCTCCTCATCCTTCCTGAGGTGGTTCCAGCCACACCTCCTCCAGGAAGTCTTCTGACCCGCCCGAGTTGCGAGTTGTGTGTCCTTTCTCCCTGCTCTCCAGCTCTCTCGGGGCTGCTTAACGGCATGGGGGCTGGCTTTGAGGTTGGTCTCCCAGTGCCTAGCACAGGGAACACTAAATGTTTGTGGAATGAGTCATGATGGTAGTAAACACATGACGTAGTCCTTAAAGCTGAAGTTACAGAATAAGACAAAACATGAAACCTCTCAATGGGCTTCTCCTTGCTGCCCAGGAAGCAGCTGGAGGGAAGGCTGCTTAAGAACCATAGATTCTTCCTGGATAGACTTTATGGGATTCCCTGCCTCTAAAGGGTATCGGGAAGATAAATGAGGTAGCATTTATGAAGTGTCACCTCAGATGCAACATACTACGTGGGGGCCAATAAGTAATTCATAAGCCTGCTGCCTGTGTGTGGCATCTGGACACTGTGCCAGGCTTCTGCCACCGCCTCTGCTCACAAAGCCAGCCATTCTGCTTCGTTGCTTAGAGTTTTCACTGTGCACAAAGCCACAGTAAGGGGGTAAATTTCCTAGAGGAAAGTTGGCTGCTGGAATCTGGAGGAGTAATCGTGTCCCGCCATGAGAGGTACACAGCTGAAGGCACTGGCAGGGTGACATTCAATAGGGATGCTGGGGCACACAGAGGCAGCTTGGGGCCATGATTCATTCTCGAAGAAAAAGACATGGAGAGGAATAATGTGGGCTAAGAGGAGAGGGGTAGTAACTGTTTATTTCTTTATTTTGAAAGTGTCTAATGGGAAATACAAGGATTATACTAAGAACGGCCTTAGTACCAATGAAAATTGTCTTCCCACCCCTACGAAACCAACGAAAAACATACAGCAGGACCTGCAGCTCATATATTTAAGTAAGGTCAGAAAAGCGACATTCTTGGTAAGAGTTTCATTTTATTTTATCCCCCCAATAAAACAACCCTTTACAGCCTGGTTTCTGCTGGGACTAAGAAGCTGCTTGTGAGCTGGTGGGTTAGGCCACAGCTCAAATCCAGAAGCAAAAGACTCCATCACAGCAGTGGCATAACAAGCTAAGAACACCCTTTTTCCAAGAAGCAAGGTCCCAATGGCCACAAACGGTCTATCAACATCAGGTGCAAGCTCTCAGTTTTTGGGAGGGTATCTATTCTCTAGTTTGTATCATTTTGCATAGTTCAAACATAATTATACAACTCCAAGAGCATCTGCCCTGTAGGGAAGATCTGTAGCTATTCAAGTTTATTCTGTTCAAAACAAACTTAGGCACACAGAGAGAGAGACACACACACACACACACCCCTTCCATAACAGACAAACACTCCAATTCATGTGAATCATGAGGACGGTATTTGTAAAATTCTCTCGTCACAAGTTCACACTCATGATCTCATTCCTTCCTTTCAGCAACACTCTGCGGCAGCCACCACTGTGTTATTTCTCCTGTGTTAAAACGGGACACTGAGGCACTAAGAATGAGAGGCCTCGTGTAAGATCACTTGGTGAGTTTTAAGTTTCAACAAATGATTAAAGACGGAAAATAACAGAGTTAGAGGGACCATTGCTAGCTTGCTTTTGTCCTCCCTTTCCTACCTTCCCAAAGTGTACATATACTGAATAGCTGTTATAAGCCAGCAGCAGGGGCACATCTTTATCTTAAAAATTTGTGAAATGAAGCCGGGCGTGGTTGCTAACAGCTGTAATCCCAGCAGTTTGGGAGGCCAAGGTGGGTGGAATCACTTGAGGTCAGGAGTTCGAGACCACCTTGACCAATATGGTGAAACCCCATCTCTACTAAAAACACAAAATTAGCCATGTATGGTGGCGCATGCCTGTAATCTTAGCTAGTTGGGAGGCTGAGGCAGGAGAATCGCTGGCATCCGGGAGGCAGAGGTTGCAGTAAATCAAGAACGTGTCATTGCACTCCAGCTTGGGCAACAAGAGCGAAACTCTTGGGAAATGAGTAGTTAGGTAGTTTTTTGCATTGAGTAACACCAAAGCGATGGATGATGGATGACCATATCAGTGTTTCAGAGAATGTATCATCCATGTTGAGCAGATCATTTAGAGCAAATGACTTGGGGAGTGTGGAAAGAGAAATATATACCTTGTGGATAATAAACAAGTGGTAGAAAAATACACTTGACTTTTAAAAAAAGTCAGAATTCCATATTTTCATTCCATCTTGATTGCACTGGCTCTGGGAATGCAATTAGCTGCTAGCTTTGTGGCGCTGATAGCTCTATGGCAATATCCATCAAAAGAAATTTCAGCCCCATCTTTGCCACTGCACAGGCTTGCCCCCGCCCCTTTGTCCAATGCCCACATTTACTTCTCAGAGTGCATCAACAATCGTCAGGACCTCGGAAGGTTCCAAGACATTTGCAGAAGGCAGGAGGCTCCAGCAGCCTGACTGATGCACCCCAGAGATTCTTGTCTACCAAGTATGTACCTTGCCTCTTGCTCTCTTTTTCTGTCAAGAAAGCGTAAATGTGAAGGAAGAGATGTCTGACTGACTGAAATCCAAGATATCTTAGGGGAAGACAGCAGAATATCCACTGCACTCAGTGACTAAAGCTAATGACTAAAGCTTAATACTGCCCTCATTGACTAAAGTGACTTCACTCTTTAGGCTAAATAACAGCTTTTATGTATTAACAACTCACCATGTGGTAGGCATGTGCAGGGCTGGGGGTGGCTTACATTAATTATCTCACAGCCACTCTGTGAGGTAGATAGTATCATCCCTTCTTCATGTCGCAATGGCACATAAAGTAGCAAAACAAGGATTCAAACCCACTTGCTACAGCGTGTCACAGTGTAGTGGAATCTGTGCTAGTAACTGCCACAGATGCTCCCTCTGGGTTGGATTACATCATCCACAGGTGACGCTAAGTCAGAGCAGTCAAATTTATGAAAATATGGTAGCGCAGACCTCTGTTATTGGCTGCCCAGCATCAATGTCCTCTCTTTAGGGAAATGACATTTCTAACTTCTTTCATGACCCGTCCTCTCCCTATGCCTCTGTGAGTTATTGAGAGGGATGCTCCCCAACTCAGCTGCAAGGATTGGCCCTGATGAGCAAAACCACATCCTGGCTACAGTGATTGGTTCAGGATGGGCACATGACCCAATTAGACCAATCAAATATTAGGAAGCACTTCCCGGGGCCTTCTGAGAAAGTAGATTTATGCTCTTCTGAGAATGCTAACCAGGTGAGATGTGTTCTATCTTCCTATCGCCTTGAGCAGGGGCAAACTGCTGGAGCTACTGGCAACCATCTTATAACCCTAAGGATGGCAAGCCTTAGAACGGAGCACAGTACAGAGGAGAAGTGGAAAGCAACTGGAGCCTTGGTGACATCATTGAGCCGTGTCAGAAGCCAGACCAATGTTTGAATTTTTCGTTAGCTGAGATAAGAAGTTCTCTTTATTTGTAAAGCCATTGTGAGATAATACATTCTCATCATTTTTAAAGGCATTTTGAGTTGGGTTTTCTGTTACTTGAAACTTAAAACATTTTAAACTGATGCAAATGGGTGAACTAAACTGTGTATCCACTATCCGTGATGGGGGTTTTAAGCCAGCAAATGCTCTGATCACTGTGTGCAGGGCTAACTCTCATTCTGCAATCAGTAGTGGAGTTTCCACTCAATTCTTTTCCATCAAAATTATTAGAAATAGTCCCTCTTTAGAGTGCAAAAATATGCTGAGAGGATGAAGAAAAAATGAAAATGTCTTTGGCAAGTCATAAACTACTTCCCACACCTACTTAAAGTTTAAGGACTGCTTTAATACTCCATGTTTAATTGTTAATTGAGAATTTAAAAATCAAAAATGCCAACTTTGCCTTCGATGAGATGGAAAATTATGCTGCTGTAGAAGGTAGCATAATGTAAAACAGCCAACATTACCAAGGCACACAAATGTTTTTGGTATGTAAAATTGCTTTGTAAAATATTTGCTCCATCTGCTGAAAGCAGCAAAGACAATTTTCCCTTGATAGCTAATGGCCCATTTCGGCTGTGTGGCAAGTGATTCGCTGCGGTGGCGGCTCTCATTAAACAGAATGGTGAAAATGCGGTATATAATTCCATACTTATGTGGCATTATCCACTCACTGCTTCTCGAGGAGTCTGTCCCTCATTATCTAGGCCTCCACCTTGCACCAACATGCAGGCCTAGCAGTTGATTTGACTCGAGAAGCGTTTTGTCCAACTGAGGCACATATGTTGTGCCTCCATTCCAAAGCTCAGCACAACTGCTTTGCCCCCGACCACAAACACTAGAGAGGTTCATTCCCTTTCAACTTTCCAGCACTTAAACTGCTGTTTCTTTTTTTCCCCTCACCACAGGGGGCTGTGGTTTTCTTTCTAGGCTCACCCCCTGCGCGCTGCATGCTGGCGGTTTCAATAGATAAAGATTAAATGCTTCTTGAAATTCTTGATTGAACTTTGCACATACACAAAGGCAGGAAAATTTTTCCCTGGGACAAAAGTGCCATCATCAAAGCCCTGACAAGCCCTGTCCGTGGTTCATGGTGTATGTGAGGGCCTGTGATCTTTTTCTTTCAAGGAGTTGTTGACGCTACTCCCTGAAACTACTTCAACATCTGCTAAAGGAACAATTAAAAATAAATAATCCAGGGTGGTTTAAAAAAAGAAGAGTATGTTCACGTTTGGGGAATGATATTAAAAAGTAGTTACAGCAGCAAGTGACTGGTGTTTTAAAAATATTTTTAACATTGGAAAATGGTCTTAAGGAAATTATATTGAAATACAAGAGTGACATCAAGTAAATACACATGCCTGTTCTAAAGATTATGCAATATTTTAAAGCAGAAACCATGTGGTTTTAAAATCAGCCATAAGTGGAAGTAGCCATAATTATCATTACTAGTAATAGGGTCTTTCTTTCCATTTAGAGAAATATCGCTGGTTGAGAAGATTGCATATGCTGATGAAAGCTCTTTAATTGAAAATTAAAAACAAAAGGAAACACATGTGCCCTTTGGACTTGATTTTTCATCCAAGTAGTGGGGGAGAGGAATGAGTTTGTGGAATGAAATGAGAGACTATCAGGAGAATTTATATTTTAATTTTATGCAAAAGGAATGGGCAAGCAGCGGCTTTTCTTAATCAGAGTGAAGAGCTGTGCCTTCTTTGATATTTCCATATGTGAAGATGCATACACTTGAGGCAGATGTAGTAGCATTACATGTTGATTGTTTTCTTTTGACGGACTATGCTTGTTAAAATGCCAGGATGGTGTAAATCAGCAAATTCCAAAGTCAGGGTTTTTGTTGGATCTGGCATAGTGACAGGAAAGTCTGAGTCTTCTCAAGGGCATCCCTGTCTCACCGAGGGGCACCAAGGACAGACGACCAGAAGCAAATGGCGCAGTCACCGTCAGAGGAGAGTAAAACTCATTCTGAAACCGTTCCAAATGCCCATGCCTGCTCTGTGGTTTCCAGCAAAGCGGACCTTTCCAAAAGACCTCCAACGGGGACTTCCTGGATGTGAGAACACTAACCAATTCTCGTTCCTCTCATCTTTTGCTTTATTCCTTCCTTCCACGCTGTTATTGCAAAAAACTGGCAGTTAAATTCAATTGATTCAAAATATTCGGGATCCATATGGCCGCCAACCCTGGAGCTGAAGCGGCGATAGCGCCTCACTGCTGTTTTCAAGCATTTGCCTCTCCTCCAGTCCCCAGATGGTGGGAGTAACATTTAAACCTCCTTTTCTCTGCCTTGTACAATAGACCTTGGCACCATTTCAACTGTTTACTCCGGTAATTAACAGCTCTGATACCACAACAATTACAACTCCTACACTCTCACCACAATAATGCTATGAATTAGTGAGAGCTAATGGCTGGAAGGTAGAGTGTTTCCAGACTGTGAGATCTGTGCATTTTTAGAATAAAATAAAAGGTACAAACAGCACGCTTGCAGTAGACAATGATTACCTAGTAATTAGTTTACACAAAGCTTCCTATTTAATGGCAAAACGCTGTAATTAACGTGTGACAGAAAATCAAAGGGTACTTTGTAAGCATATGAAAAATTAACACTGCAGGCCCATAGCTTTATGTACTGATTAGAAGCATATTAAATCAATAGGACACGCAAACCAACAGCTTGTGTAGCTGATGATTATAGGTCCTCAGAAGGGGTGCCCTGGCTTTCATTTCACTTGGGGAGGCAATTTTCCTTCTCCTGTCATCTTCCTCAGGCACAGAGAAGCACCTCACACTCAACCCTGGCAGCTTCATGAAAATAACCACTGAACTGGAAGAAAACATTCTAAGTCATTCTCAGAGATAAAGACAAATATGTAAATGATTAAGACTTTCCAGTGATTGTGGTGACGTGCTGCTACACTAATTAGAAAATACACCAACTGGAACCAGAAAATCAAGCCACCGGGTTGCAATCTTTCGGTCAGAATAATCTCTACTTTGTCAAGCCTCTTTATTCAACTCATAGGAAGTTCAAATAAATGGAACTGTCTTATATTTCTAAAACATAAGAAAGCAGCCCGCTATGAAGACTTATTCTTTCGAAGACACTGTCCGGGTAAAGCGTAGGCTGGGAACAACTAGATCAATCAACATTCTGTATCTTCAGCAGCCACAGCCTCATATAATGATGGCTGATGGAAGTAGATGGCAATATCCTGGAAGCCTACCAGAGCCTAAAGAACTTTCTAAATCACCAAAGAAAGATTAAGCTGTATGTGCTTGTTCAATGTTACCTGCATTTTGTTTTAATACAGTTTAATCTCATAACAACAACAACAACAACAACAATAGGTAGCATTTCTTAAAGTCATCATGCTCTAAGCATACTGCTAGCCAATTCACAGTTATCTCATTTACTTGTCACCACCTCCCCGTGAGACAGGTACTAATCTCTCTTTACTGATGAAGAAAAGGAGACTTGGGGAGCTGAATTAATTTCCCTATGGTTATCCCCCAGTAAGCACGGGCATCTAAACTAGGTGTCCCTGGGCTATGGAACCCCAGGAAGCCAAACTACCTCTTAGTTACCCTGAATGACTATCCTTTTCCAATACTCATTCTGCTTAAAAGGCTGTTTACTTTGTCAACCTGGAATAGGAGACTAAAAACATTACAACAAAACAAATAGAATATTTGGTTACTTATTTTTGAAAAAAAAAACAGTGTTTCTGCTTTTAGAGATAGGGGTCTTGTTCTGTCACCCAGGCTGGAGAGTAGTGGTGCAGTCATGGCTCACTGCAGCCTCAAACTCCTGGGCTCAAAGGATCCTCTGCTTCAGGCTCCTAAGTAGCTGGAAATAGAGTCACGCACCACCACGCCCAGCTAATTTTTAAATTTTTTGCAGAGACAGGGTCTTACTATGTTGCCCAGGCTGGTTTTGAACTTCTGCCCTCAAGCCATCTCCCACCTTCGCTTTCCAAAGTGTTGGGATTACAAAATATTACAGGAGTGATCAACCGCTCTGGGCTAAAACCAGGGTTTAAAACGCTTACCACATTTTTAATGCTACATCTGACTGTGAAGGTAGTCTACTCCAAGCTTTCTGGGAATCTACAGACTCACTAAAATGATCACAATCGTGTATTAAATTGAGAAAGGCACTGGAAATCTGTCATTCCCATGAACAATCAAAGGGTGATGTCTAAAGTTCTCTCTCATCACCCATGCACATAACCAGGTATGTGAGGCAGTTGGGTTGCAAGAGCTGAATCCTAGAAACTCCCAGGCAGGGCTCCTCCTCTCCAGCTCTGAGGTGTGTGTCTTGATGGGTCCCTTTATCTCCCAGTTTGCTGCCTTGTGGGAAAAGGACACCAGCAATTCTGTCATCTAGGAAAGAGAAGAAATTTGAGAGCAGTGGTCTCTGTGTTCCAGGAATATTTGTGTTTCCCACAAATCTCTGGAAAGCAGAAAACTTGCCAGAAGGGCAGCACACGGTAAGAGTCACAAAGGCAAGGACCCGACGGAGAACACTTCTCCAGGACTTTCAAATAAGAGGGTCTTTCCTAAATGTACTTGGCTCAGTGTGGAAAAAGCACTGGGCTGGCAGCAGTCAGATGTGGGTTCAGTAATTTATTGGCACAATCATTTATTAGCTATAAATTTAAGCAAATCACTTCCTGAGCATCAGTTTCTCTATCCGTAAACAGAATAATAATGTCTTTCTTATACCTTAAATTGGCATGGAAGTAAATGAGTAAAAACCTCAGGGTTTTTCTGAGATTAAATGAGACAATTTGGCTGGGCGCAGTGGCACACACTTGTAATCCCAGCACTTTGGGAGGCCGAAGTGGGTGGATCACCTGAGGTCAGGAGTTCAAGACTAGCCTGGCCAACATGGTGAAACCCCATCTCCACTAAAAATACAAAAAATTAGCCAGGTGTGGTGGCAGATGCCTGTCATCTCAGCTACTTGGGAGGCTGAGGCAGGAGAATCACTTGAACCTGGGAGGCAGAGATTGCAGTGAGCTGCGATCGTGCCACTGCACTCAACCTGGGCAACAAGGTGAGCCTCCATCTCAAAAAAAAAAAAAAAGAGACCCTTCATGTAATGTGCTTAGCACAATACCTGGTACCCAGCAGGTACTCTGTAATATTTATTGATGATGATGATGATGAAGAAATAGAAGGAAATGTCAAGACCTTAACAGTGTATTCATAGATCTACAAAATGTTTAATCTCATGTGTAGGCCAGTGTTCTGGCAACTACTAAATACAAAAAGATAATCTAAGACATCAAGATTTTAAGATACAAAAAGAAATATTAAAAACAAATGTACAATCATTTATATGTAGTTTCATGACTAGAAAAAATAACCTAGTTTTTCTTAATCTAAAAATCTACATTAAAAAAATACAAAGATCTTGTGTTTTTGATATAAAACACAAATAATAAGGACACAAAAAAAGAATATCCCTTGCTAGTAATCAAATAATAGCAATGAGAAGCCGGATTTTTATATCTAAAATAAATGTGCAAACAGTTAATAATATCCATTGGTGGTAAGGTTCTGGTTAAACTAGTAAGCTTATTCTCTGCTAGTTGCTTTGGAAATTGGTACTATCTTCTTAGGAATATGGCAATATGTAATAAAAGCCATAAAATATTCTCCTGGGTCTTTCTCCTAGGGAAATAACAGAAGCAAAAAGAGGTGTATACAAAAACCAAATATAAAAAGAAACAAATTGGCCGGGTGCAGTGGTTCATGCCTGTAATCCCAGCACTTCGGGAGGCTGAGGCGGGCAGATGACCTGAGGTCGGGAGTTCGAGACCAACCTGACCAACATGGAAAAACCCCATCTCTACTAAAAATACAAAATCAGTGGGGTGTGGTGGCGCATGCCTATAATCCCAGCTACTTAGGAGGCAGAGGCAGGAGAATCACTTGAAGCTGGGAGGTGGAGGTTGCGGTGAGCCAAGATAGCGCCATTGCACTCCAGCCTGGGTAACAAGAGCAAGCAAAACTCCGTCTCAAAAAAAAAAAAAAAAAAGAAAGAAATCTTTCCTCCCTCCTTCCTCCCCTACAACCCCACCACCAAAAAAATGAAGGTTGGAAACAGTCTAAATTTCCAACTTAGTTGAGTTGTTTAACATATTAGAGTTCGTCAGTATGAGAGAATATTATACAGCTATTAATTGTGAAGACTATGTATAAACATGGAGAATATTTAAGATCTGATGTTTGCATATACATTGTTATTGTAGCTATCAGAAATACTGCATATTTAGGAATTAATACACAAAAATGAAAACGACTGTTTGGGGAAAGTGATTATGTATTTATGTTATCTTTAAACTTTTCTAAAAATTATGGGATTACAAGCAATGGCTCTTTGTGATGACCTAATAAATACCTACTAAATTATACATGGGGCAACAAGCTCAGCCATCCTGCAATGCCTTCTGTGACCTAGTTCCGGGGCCACTCTGAATGGACAGAGGTCTTCACAATGGAGGTGGAAGTGCAGGGAGTTCTACGGCATGAAATGTGTCTTCTGTTTGCTGCCTTAGTTCTACAAGGAGGCAAAACAACAACTGTGGTTTATTCTACCTTTTCTAGACATAGTTCTTCCCCTACCTTTGTGATCCCCAAATTAATATAAAATGTCTAATTTGGTTTTTTCCTCCATTGGTGATCCCCAAATTAGTTTCAAATGTCAAAGTAAACCAAAGTACAAATAAAGGTAAAACTGCTCTTGCAAAGGGCTAAAATAGCAATACTTTACTAGTGGCATTCAAGAGCCAGTTCAATTTCCTTTTTCTCATTAAGTGGTAAAATAGTAATGCCAAGACCACATCCCAGCATCTCCAGGGTAACAGAGGCCCCAAGAAGGGCTGCACAGAGTAACCTGAAAGTCAGCTGGCTTAGTTCTTTACACACAGAAATTGTTCTACAAAGACCTTTTGCAAAGCAGCGTCACCAGTAGCATCACTGCTACTAAGCCAGGAATTGAGGAAAGGAAGACACCCTTAAAGAAAAAAACAAACAAAAAAGCCACAAGGACTGGTACCACAGCGAACGTCTGCCTGGGTTTCCCTAGACTGTCTTAGGTGAGTTTACCCAGGAAGGTTTCTCCCCATGACACGTTTGCCTTTCTTTGTTTAAGCCTTTATTCCTCCTAAATGAAAAGAAATACCCCCGACTGGGGAACAGGGAGTGCGGTGTGCGCAGGAGTGTGGATTCATTAAACCTTCACGAGCAGAGTATTTAAGTGAATGAGTTTACTGGAACTTGTTGGGGGAAGTAGGTTTTGTTAGCTGGTAGGATGAAGAGAATAGGCTTGGTACCAAGTCACCAAGAAAAAATGGTAAGAGTTGTGTTCCGTTTTCATTTTGGCCATCATGTAACATTCTGCTTTTCCTAAATATCACCTATATGTCTCTACTGATTTTTTTTAACTGTGACGACAACTTTTCAGCATCTGCTGATTTCATGACTCTTTTAATTCTCAACTATAACCAGCCAGATAACTCTGGTTCCAAATTAGACAGGTGAAAAAATAGATAACCTTTTTTTTTTTCTTGAGATGGTGTCTCACTCTGTTGCCCAGGTTAGAGTGCAGTGGTGTGATCTCAGCTTACTGCAACCTCCACCTGCCAGGTTCAAGCGATTCTCCTGCCTCAGCCTCCCAAGTAGCTGGGACTGCAGGCATGCACCACCATGCCTGACTAATTTTTTTGTATTTTTAGTAGAGACAAGGTTTCACTACGTTGGCCAGTCTGGCCTCAAACTCCCTACCTCAGATGATCCACCCACGTTGGCTTCCCAGAGTGCTAGGATTACAGGCATTAGCCACCACACCCGGCCAGATGATCTTTATATTAGATACTTGAATTTACACTGAATCCTGCCTACATCCAAAACCAGTATCTGCATAAGAGGCAAGAGAATCTCAAGGGTTCAAACTCCCATAAACAGCACTGTTTTTAATCTGTTGCCTACAACATACCAATGAGAAAAATCATGGTATCGTATCATAAACTGCTATGCAAATGATGCTATTTGTAAGTATTAACATAATTTAGTGCTTACAGTCATAGTCTCATTTCTAATAATTCTCCCAGAATGGAGTCTTTCTCTGGACTCTTAGCCTGCAGGATAGTCTTTCATCAAGAAGCTGAAATTTTTAATAACCTGCCAGCATATGTTTTGTATGTGCCAGGCTAGGCTTGATGACACAACATCTTCATTATCAAAAGAAACAGGTCTACAAACTGTAATAGGACATTAAAACATGCCTGTGCTCGTAAAGTAATGCTTTGATGTCTAAATGTGCACCATTACGATGGTCTTCTGGAACAAAGGAGAATTCTAATCCTAAATTCTCAATAGCTACCCTCAGTAGAGGCTGCAGTTCACCTCCACTCTCAATGTAATTTCACTTTGAAGGTAAAAGAATGTCATTAGGCTCCCACAAAAAAAGACATTTTCAGAAATACTTTATTTTTATTTTTGGCTTCACATCATGGCTAAGCACTGGACTCAGACTGTAGAGAGATTTCCGAATAATTATTTTTTCCTTGTTAAGTTTTAAAAAATGATTTAGATAGATTATTAATTATTCAAGAGCTTTGCATTTAATAACATGAACAACAGTGCCAAATGTATTTGGTGCCAATTAAAAATGCTAGGGTTTAAAATAACTGAAATTTAAATAATGCACAATGAGGCTTCCAAATACAATTCAGCCAAATGTCAGTATTTTAAGTATTTTTTAAAGTCAAACATTTCAAATTTATCATAGTCTAATGTTAAGAGGATTCTTTAAAAATTGTTGGTTTGAAATATTGAGGCCAACAATTTAACACTTCAGTATTTTAAATAAAATATCAACACTCCAATGTTTTAAATAAAAAAGCCATATTTTTATAGTTTAATCTTAACAGTGTTGCTTTAAAAAGAAAATTATATACAATATGAAATAAAATCCAGTTCAAAAAGAATATAAGGGAAACCTCTATGGGCCTCAAAATTAAATACATTTTCTTTGTTTTATCTTTATCTAGAAGAGTAATTCATTTTGGTATCCTTTAAATAATATGTAAAAAGCTGGCCATGACAGGTACTGCATTTAGTCCATTTACTGATGGAGCGGGGAACGAAGCCCAGAGTAGATCATGGGGAAACCAGTCACATTTGTCAAAGGGAACTCTCTCTCCTGACTGTTCTCTAGATTTATTCATCACTCCACTTTCCAAGAATAATGTGATTCCCTTAAGTATGCCCCTCCCTCTCTATCACTTGTGTCTTGATTCATATACTTTCGTATTGGGATGCTCAAAGTAGACGCAAATCACTTTGCACAGCCCACTGCTATGTATGCCGGTAGGGAAGGAACCAGTAAGGGAATCTGCACTGAGATTTTCCTAATCAGTTATGCTTTAACCAGCAGGTCAGCCAAAACGGAGATTTGGGATTAAGAAAAGCCAGGCAAAACTGGTTTTCTGAATGCAAAGCAACATAGTTTTAGAATGGCAGGTTTAATTTATATATTAAACCATATAAAATTACTTTAAGCAAATTTGAAACGGACTAAAAGGTTGTACGATTCATCCCTTCACAAATGTGCATGGAAACAAATCTATGCACATCCATTCATGCTTAGACTTCATACCTGGAGCTCAGCTTTTGCTGGGAGATTTTCTGGCTGGGATGTACTATTTTCTCAGCATCTCACAGGGACCAGCAGTTACATAAATTTCCTTGAAATGTCTTCAAAAACATATGACGGCTGAAAGAATGCTATTATACATTACCTTCCAGGTGACAACCATTCACGAATAGAATTTCTATCTCATAATAAAATACAGTTAGCTTAATAACAACAGTTGTTAGAAGCACATGATCAGGAACTACTAGGGCAAATTACAAGATTTGTAATGTTACCTGAATATGATTAAAAAATTACTTCCTAATTATCATAATCAGTTTGAAGACCTGAATGAGGACTTTTAGGGCCCAGAGAAGAAACATTGAAAATAACCCCCTTGTGGCTCACACCTGGTAATTCCAGCACTTTGGGAGGCTGAGATGGTGTATTGCTTTAGTTCAGGAGTTCGAGACCAGCCTGAGCAACATAAGGAGACCCCCCCTCCCGCCATCTCAAAAAAAAAAAAACAAAGAAAGAAAAAATTAGCCAGGCATGCTGGAGCATGCCTGTAGTCCCCACTGCTCAGGAAGCTGAAGTGGAAGGATTGCTTGAGCCAGGGAGGCAGAGGTTGCAGTAAGCCCTGATTGTGTCACTGCACTCTAGCCTGGGCAACAGAGTGAGGCCCCATTTCAAAAAAAAAATGAAGATAACTCAAATAATTCAATCAATCCAACTCATTGTGTGTACATAAGGAAAAAGGTCCCAAGAAAGGCACTGCTGGCAGGTAGCAGAGCTAAGTAGAGAGGAAAGTACTTTAAGTCACCAATGAATACTCACTTGTGCCCATTTCTTTCTCCAGTCTTCAAGGCCATATCTGCTACTCTCCTTTAGGACCCATTTGTAGCACTTTAGGTAGGAAGGAATGTCACAAAATGCAGTCCCATTTCCTCGGAACTCATAGTCCATTTTAAAGAGCCAGCGCTGTATTTGCAGGTGGTCAGTTATCAGCTGACTCAGCTGCTCTATCATCTGTGGGGCCGAAGACACAGTCACATTTAATACAGTTCATTTCCTGGGATTCCTTTTTATCATATTAACTTGGTTGTTGTACTTCTCATGTGTCTTTACTTCTAATGGTCTGTTCATTCGGTTATCTTCTAGTTACTAAGAAAGATTAAAGAAGCTTAAAGTGATATAAATATGATATGAAGAAACCATTAACCAATGAGACTAAAGACATGTTTAAAAGCATAGTCTTATTTATAAGAAATTATGAAATTATCATTTTGCTGGCTTTTGAAGGCAAAAGAAAGAATCCTTGGATACCTGTAATTGAATATTGGTATGGTTTTCTTTCTTTTTTGGAGACTTAATGAGTTTACTTATTGATTCCTCAAATGATGTTTTAATTGTTTCAAGACTTTAAAGAGTTACAGTCTTGAAAACTGTAAGTGTTTGGGGGTTGTTGAGCTTTTCACTGCTATAACACAGAAACCGTTTAATTTCTTCCTCATTAATGTACATGAAATACATTGCTTTGGCTGGCCAGTTGACCAAGTTTAGTATATGTGTGACACAAGCAAGTATATTATAGAACAAGACAGATAAAGGAGATAAAACATTTGTGAAAGCAACCTTCCTGGAACATACACCTACTTGACATTTTATCTGAAACAACAGTCCCGCAAGAACTGGGCTCAAACACACAGAAGTTTAAGGGATAGAACAGTAGTCTAAGCTCTAGTATCATAATAATGATGATTATTCTAAGATTGCTGAACTCTCAGTAGGGGCCAGGCTTTTGGCTCGTGTCAGTTCTTTGCATGAATTTTCTCAGTTAATATAATCATCTATGAGGTGGGCACAATTATTAGTTTTCTTTTATAGGTAAATAAACTGAGGCTCGGCTAATTTAAATAACTTGTCCACAATCACCCAGCATTGAGTAGCAGAGTAGGAATTCCATTCAAGTTGGTTTGACTCCAAAACCTATGCTCACTCCCTCTTCACTGTGCTACCTATCCCAACCCACAGAGAGGTGGAGAAGGGTAAAGTGGAGAAAGAAGTCAGAGGAGGAGCAAGAGAACCCACTTTCCATACAGTCAATAAGCCATCTGGGGTGAGTTTGAATCAGGTGAAAGTCTATGGCAAGATGATTTGATTATAAGTGATACCCTCCTGGCAGAGCCTGGGAGAAAAATACCTCATTAGATCACAAAACGATTTTTTTTGTCTCATCTTCTTATCAGACTTTCCAGTCAATATTTCCCAGAAAGCAACGAAATAACACTAAGCATTCTGTCTCCTGAGCTTTCCCATACTGCTCTTGGCTATGGTTTTCAGTACTGAAGCACTCTGTGACACTCTTACCCTTTTTTTTTTTTTTTTGATCAGTTCTGTTTGCCCACTATTTTTTTTTTTAACTAAAGGGTGTGAAAGACCTCATGATTTACAGTTCTGTTGAAGTTTGGGGCGATCAATTAAAAATATTTTAATTAAAGGCCCAACCTGTTCTTCTGGGTTGTGTCTACCCAGCAAATCTTCCTGGGGATATTATACTACATGGTGGTGTGGGAGAGAGAGCAAAATGGCCATACTTGGGGGTCTCTGGAAACCTCATACAACTATGGGGTATTCAGTGAGAGTGAATGTTGAAATTATCTTAGCTCCCTAATTATCAAGTAGTGTTTATTGATAATTTTGGTGTTTAAATGACAGAACTCTGGTCTACAAACCATATGGTGATGAACATAGTCTAGGAAAGTCTTTAAAATGTGCCTTCCAACGTTGTTTCTTTCTCTAATGTGTTGAGAATCTAGATTTTATATTTAATCATATTTTGCTGTATTATGACCACACTTTGCAGAAGGAGAAATGGTCTTTGGCCTGTTAACATCAGGTAAAATTCTTTTGCTAGTATAAGGGAAGGTGGTCTGGCATAGATTTTTAAAAATCACATATTTAGATATAATGTATATTTGGAGGTTTCAACTACTAACAGAATTATTATCTATTTCTTTTAAATCTTATTATTTGTTGCTTCTGAGAATCCTATAAATAGGCATCGTTGATGGATCCCCTACTGTAATGAAAAGGATCAATAGTATTGTAAAGACTGAGCCACTGGAAAGAATTATGCGCTTTCTTTAAGCGAAAATTGAACAGTGCTTTAAAATAGCATCACCATTTTTGATTATTTAACCAAAGCTGTCAATATTTCATAGGGAGCAGATGCCAGAAAGAGAACTTGCACAGTTACTTTATGGACCAAAACAGGAAATGCTCACCGTGTTCATGCTAGATTTAAAAAAATGAACCATAAACCAAATGACTTTATACTATTTCCAAACATTTATCATTTTTCTGTTTGAGTCTATCTGTTCAAAAGATGTAATAAATTTTTTTTTAGCCGTGATTCATTTTATACTGGTAAAGAGCAGAAAAATGATTACTGCTAAAGTCCAACTGAAAGTCAGAAATACTTAATAACCTAAGTTAAAATAATCACAGCTTTCTTTCACCAGCTTTAAGTTTATGATGCACATTGGTAAAAAGTCAGTGTTACTGATTCATCCCCATCTGCTGATTCAAAATACTGACATGCTCAGATAAATTAGGTAGGATAGTCACTATCTGCAAAAATCTCAGTGGAGTATTTTAATTCTTGATGACCTAAGATGTGTGTTTTCCAAACAAATAGTAGAACTCAGTGAAATGTTGGCTTATTATACAATTTGCACACACCGTAGGTCAAATGACATCTCTCAAATCTGATGGGTCCATAAGAAAGCTTTTAGTCATACATCTGAATACTAGCACTAGAGGGAGATTTTATTGTATTAAATGTGGCTGTATCTTTAACTACCATCAATATATGCAGTTCTGAAATATTTCATAGCAAAGACTGCCTGAGATTTCCTCAGTAAAGATGAAGGCAAGACTCAATATAAATATTGCACATACATTTTAAAGTTATGAAGACTGTTTAATGTGTGAAATAATATTTAAAAATTTATTTCACTTGTAATAAGTATAACAGCCAAATATTCTACTGGGAAGCAGAGTCAAGCAATCTATCTTGTTATCTTCAAGTTCTAGTGGTGGCTAATGACAATGGAAGTGACATAATGGTTCAGGGGGATCCTCTTTACTCCACTCCTATTAAAATTGCCTGTGACTTTCCCGGGTTGTGATACTGTCAAGAGAAACGTCATGAGCTCAAGAAAATTGCCCAAGAACACTCTAACAAGACTAAAATACTTGTGGATAACTTCATAAGCTAATAGTTTCTTCAAACTAATCTCTGCAAAGCCTGATTTGTTGAAAGGCTTGATTTTTTAGCTCAGTGGCTGTGAGGTGGAGAGCATCATCATCAGGCAACTGAGAGTAGGAGGGGATCCCTAAAAATAGTCCCTCACAAACTGCCTCATTGTGCATGGTTCTTTGGTTTCCCAAGAAGTGGGGAGAGGTGATAATTTGTGATTGGCCCAGAGGGATGGTCAAGAGGTGTACTGAAACAGAGGTTAGAAAATGTTAACAGCCATTTGTCTTTTAATTTTCTCTATTATGAAAACAGATGGCAGTTAAATGGGAGAACACCTGCCAGGGCTAACTCAAAGAGAAAACATTTCTAGTGGCTAATACATTTCTCCCAATGTTTTAGGCCCTGACTCTCTGCTGGAAGAATGCATAGCCACACACCTCGTCCAAGGCAAACCCAAAAACAGATAGTTTTATTCCTGGAGCTGTTTTACTTCCCTTTTTCTGAGATCTTTCCCCTCCTCCCTTTAGATCACGTCCTGAAGAGCCAAGGAAGCCTGCAGCCCTCTGTACACAGGCCCTCTGCAATCTGACCCAGTGGGGAAGCTCACTCACTGAGCTTTCCAAACCCACTGGTTTTAGTGAAAACTGACTCTCATATTTCTTAGGATCCTATCTAATGACTGGCTAGCTGATACGATAATGAACTAATCCATGTTAAAGCATTAAATATTGATAGCAGATTGGTTCAAATGATATATACATTTTGACAGTGCTTATTCCAGATGAGTAAATATTTTGGAAATTCCAGCAATTTCTGCAAGACTAACAGGAAAATACTTTTAAATACAAAGGTCTCATGTAGATTCCCTCAGGCCAGGCGTGGTGGCTTGCACCTGTAATCACACAACTTTGGGAGGCCAAGGCGGGCAGATCACTAGGGGTCAGGAGTTCGAGACCAGCCTGGCCAACATGGTGAAACCCCATCTCTACTAAAAATACAAAAATGAGCTGGAAATCACTGAACCCAGGAGGCAGAGTTTTCAGTGAGCTGAGATTGTGCCACTGCACTCCAGCCTGGATGACAGAGCGAGACTCCATCTCAAAACTAACTAACTAAATAAATAAAGTAGATTTCCCTCAAATCAACTCAAGTCTTCCACCTATTCTTCATTGGGTAGGGCTGGCTCCAGAAGACTTGTCCAAGACCAAGAGGATGTTTCAAATATTTGAACAGAGCTTCACGTGTCCACCCCACATACCTGTTGCTGACTATAAATGTCATAAATTCCAGGAGGAACTGCCACATTGGCACTGTCAAAGACACGTTTACCTCCAGATTTGGTACTATAAAGATGAGCTCGTTCAGGCTCAGAGCCCAGGATGGGTATGTCTAACATATCGGCCACAGCTAAATCATCTCTGTGGAGGAGTCCGCTGACGATGTAGGCCTCTGTTCCTTGGATGAGATTTTTAATTCTTTTGATTGCCTTGGGACTGTACATCAGGTGAGTGGCCAGGCACATATGATGCTGCTAGGGGAAGATCATATTATTCTTGTTAAAAGGTGTCCTTTTTTCTAGTCCATATACCTAATTTATAATGTTGCACATAATAAATACATTATTAATAGCAGGCTGGGTTATGACCTATCCTGTTGTTTAGCAGTTTAAATTGATAAAAGCTGTTGGGGTGAGGTTCCATAATCACTCACATCTTTAGTGTGTGGGAAATAGGCTCACTGGGAATAGAACTAATTACTACACATCTGTATTTATTTGATCCACGTGGAATTATCCTTCTGTCAGAAGGAAAAGAGGCTGGTGGCCTTTGGGTAATAGTGATTCATCTCCGTAACACTTCTGGCATGGTTTAACACTAAAGTGTCTGGAAAATCAATACCAAAAAAATGAAGAAAAAAGCCCCACAGCATTCTTAACGATACAGATTCCTACTCTGGCAACTCTTTAAATGCTTGAGTAGGAAAAAGGAACTTGACCTGACACGCTCCTTCCAAAATTCTACCACTAAATCTGCTTCAGATAATATGGACTTTTATAATGATTATCATGGTTCTAGGCAACAACTCTGGAAAGGATTCATAAATAGAAAATAATTGAAAATTTCAGCAAGACCGAAATGTATTTTTCAGTGAAGAACTCTTTTTGTTTTATTTTTGACTAGTTAGACCCAGCTCAGCAATACACATGACTGTCTCATTCAATTAAATAATTCTTGCTAGCCTAATGGGGGCAGAGGAAACAGCCAGATGGTCAGCACACACCAACACCAACACAACCATGTTTCTGCTTTCAAGGGGTGGGGACACGAATCACAGTTAACACATAACTGAGACGGGGCAGGGAAGGGCCATAAGGATCTACAGAGTCCTCAAGAAGCATGCTGGTGGGGAGAGCTGAAAAGGCAAATACACATTCTCCTCGTGCCTCAGTTTCCTCATCTGGAAAATGAGTGTGATGATCATATCTATCCCATAGGGATGCTGTAAGAATTAAATGAGATAATGCATGTAAGGCACTTATAATAGTACCTTGGATACAATAAGGATTGAATGAATGTTAGCTAGTACCGTTATTATGAAAGAGGTTGGGGTTGAGGTGAATTCTGAAGGATGGGTGGGATTTTATCAGGTGAAGACAGGCATGGGAAAGACCATGCATAGACTAAAAGAACCCAAGATTGTTTTCCTCCTTGTAGAGAAGAGGGCAGTGTGGCACATGGGAAACTGATGGGGCTTTGGAGTGAAATGGGTCTGGCTTTAAATCCAGCTCTATCACTCATAAGCTCCATTAATGTAGGCAAGTAAATTAGACCCCCTGAGCCTGTTTCTTCGCCTGTTAAATAAGAATAAAAATTACCCATTTGCTGGGTTGCTCTGAGGCTTTAACGATAGACCACAAATGCAAAATACCTAGTATAATACATAGCATCGATACTCGACAAATGGTACTATTATTATTACAGAGAAAACCCTGTTAAAAATAAAGTCAGGCTCGGTGCCGTGGCTCACACCTGTAATCCCAGCACTTTGGGAGGCCACAGTGGGCAGATCACTTGAGCCCAGGACTTTGAGACCAGCCTGAGCAATACGGCAAAACCCCCTAACAAAAAAGAGTTAGCCAGGTATGTGGTGGTACACACCTGTGGTCTCAGCTACTCGGGAGGCTGAGGCAGGCGAATTGTTTGAGCCAGGAAGGTCAAGGCTGCAGTGAACCGAGATCATGTCACTGCATTCCAGCCTGGGTGACACAGTAAGACCCTGTCTCAAAAAAATAAAAAATACAAATAAAAAGTCATTAAAATGTCATGCAAATAATATAATATAAAACTGCCAGAGTCTCAAGGCAGTTGAAGGGATTTTATAGACTAGCATCTATTCCCCCAATTCTAGTAAAAAATTATCTACTCACTGTGGCATAAAAATATGGAGAAATGCTAAGTGATTGTTTCATGGAATATCAGATGTACCAGTTTGCAAATTGTTGGAGAGTGTAACTCCTGAGTATGGGAGGAAGAGGATGGAACTTGGGAGAATACCTGCATTTCAGTCCTGCCTGAATGTGTAATTTGCTAGGTGACTTAGAAAACTCAACCTCTCTGCGTCTCAGTTTCTCATATTCAAATGAGGGGTTGGATTAGAAGTCTCTGGGGTCCTTCCAGCTCTGAAATAACTTTCCCTTTAACACACGAACTCTTTTGGACTTATTGCTTAATGGATACAGAGTTTCTTTTTGGGATGATAAAAGGTTCTGAAATTGATAGTGGCAATGGCTGTACAACAATGTGAATGCACTTAATGCCACTCAACTCTACACTAAAAAATGGTTAAAATGGTAACTTTTGTGTTGTGTATATTTTACCACAATTTTAAAAGGCAAAAAACAGAGCTCCTCCCAGAAGAGGATTTACGTAATTTCCCCTATTGGGCCCTTCCTCCAGATTAGGTGTTCTATTCCCAGTTCCTTAGTTCTATGCAATATGCCTTTTCTCCAATAATTTTAAATCTTTGTGTGTGTGTGTGTGTGAGTGTGTGTGTGTGTGTGTGTGTGTGTGTGTGTGTGTAAGCGGGGACAGAGTCTCACTCTATCACCCAGGCTGGAGTGCAGTGGTGCAAACACGGCTCCCTGCAGCCTCAACCTCCTAGGCTCAAGCGATCCTACCACCTTAGCCCCTCAAGCAGCTGGGACTATAGGTGCACGCCACCATGCCTGGCTAATTTATGTATGTTTTGTAGAGACTAAGTTTTGTCATGTTGCCCAGACTGGTTGCAAACTCCTGAGCTCAAGTGATCCACCTGCCCCAGCCTCCCAAAGTGCTGAGATTATGGGTGTGAGCCACTGTACCTGGCCTTAAATCCATTTAAAAAACATTCTTCTGAGAATGCAGTTCTAGGAAACCCAATGTTCCATTTGACAATGGCCAGTGATAGCACCTGGCAGGTTTGTGTTTCCCATCTGGTTAGTCACTATCTTTCTTCCTTATTTCACTCTTTTCTTTTTCCCATAAAGTATTCCAATGAAGACATGTAAAAAAAATACACTGTCTTGGTGACTTGAGTTACGATGTCTGTGGTGGGCTTTTCAGGGCACCCAGAAGAGCATTCCAGGGCAGCAGTCTTCTCATGGTAAGTTCACAAGATCAAAGCCCTTGCCATGTGATCTCTCATTTGATCTGTATGACATTGAATCAATTAACTATCCCTATTTTGGAGATGGGGAAATTGAGCCTCAAGTGATTTGCCCAAAGTCACACAGCTAGTAAACAGCAGAGGCAGGATTTAAACCCAGTTAACACAATTGGCATGCCACTGCTGCCACAGGTTCCCCATTTTATCGAGGGAGTAGTAAAGGTCTCGTGGGTTTATAAGATGTGAAGACGGATGGCAGATGCAGCAATAGAACCTAATGTTAACATTCTGGGCACATTTCCAGCCAGGATGGATTTCTGTCTCCTCTAGGTTAGCTGGTTTCTATTGGCAAGTACTCTACCCAACTCTGTATTATAGTTATCTTCGGGCATGCCTCATACTCCAGGCAAGATGTTGTCACAGTATTGTATTTGATATGTGTTTAATAAAGATTTAAATGTGCATGAGTGATGGCAAAGGATGTATCACTAATCACAGGTCTTGTATGACCATTTGGAGAATATTAGTATCATCAGATCGAGGCAATGGATTAACACTGATGACAAAATCTAAAATGTTTCTAGTTCCATAGAATGATGGCTACATTTAATTTATCACCACTGATTTTTTTTTTTTACTCTAGATAAAAGATAGTTGTTTAGGATGTCTTCATAAACATTGAAATGTCTAAAAATAGACACGATGACTTTTATAAAGAGCCCGTTTTACCATCACAAATTCAAGAATCATATAGTAACTTGGAGAGATGTACAAACAGATTTTTGGCATGCTCTAAAAAAATCTCATAGCTATCCATTTAAATGAAAATCAGCACTGATACAATCTCTCAAACCCATTAAAAAGAAAAAGCAATAACCAAATGTAAAAAAGAACTGATTTGAAAGTGAGAATTTAATTTTTGTATTTTTAGAAAGTTGATTGCTTATGAGTAATTACTCAAATAATTTAAACTTGAGCTATGAGGAGAACTGTTAAGTACTTAAAACTTTGCCTGTTTCTACTCACAAAGATGAAAACCTATACTATGTGTGTAACTTTGTGCATCTGAAAGTGCCTGTCTCAAGCTTAGAAGGCAAAGAGTGGATTAGCAAGGGTACAGTTCTCAGATAATAGGATGACAGAGTTGAAGATGACTCTCTGAGATGATCTAATCCATTATCTCATTTTATAGATGAGGACCAGCGGAACAGAGAGGTAAGGGGGCTTGCCCAAGGCCACAGGGTCATCCAGAAGCAAGACAGTCATTCCAACTCATGATATTGCTCTGAGGTAGAGAGATTTTGGTTGACACTCTGGCCTTACTAGTCACCTTAAATGAGAAAATGAGTCTTGATTTCCTCAGCCATAAAAGGAGATTGATAAAAAGAGCTATCTTTCCACCTTGTTGCATTGTTCTGAGAATCAAATGAGAAACTAGGCTTGGCGCAGTGGCTCACACCAATAATCCCAGCACTTTGGGAGGCTGAGGTGGGTGGCTCACCTGAGATCAGGAGTTCAAGACCAGCCTGGCCAACATAGTGAAACCCTGTCTCTACTAAAAATACAAAAATTAGCTAGGTGTGGTGGCACATGCCTGTAATCACAGCTATTCGGGAGGCTGAGGCAGGAGAATCATTTTAACCCAGGAGGCAGAGGTTGCAGGTTGTAGTGAGCTGAGATCGTTCCACTGCATTCCAGCCTGGGTGACAGAGTGAGACTTCATCTCAAAAAAAGAAGAAGAAGAAGAAAAAAGGACCTGTATGCTAAGAGTTAGAAAAATGTTAGTTTTTAGTTTTCTCACTTTTCTTCTCCCCAATCTAATGCCCCTTCCCATTCTATGCCTGTTCAATGTATATGGGTATTTCAGATGTGCAGAAACTCCTTACTAGCAGCTAGCAGCCATCAGATTAATCTTCTGGCTAGAGAAAATCAGAAATTCAACTAAACACGAATGGTAGTTCTTTTTCTTCCTTGCATCCTAACGTCCATAGTAACTCTGTCACTGAGGCCAACGAATAACTAGGAAGCACCAAAAAAATTCTTACACTGGTGGAGGATATTGGAAGGTTCCCTAGAATGTATGTAAGTGGTAGTGATTTGTCACTTGTCCTTTCTCTTGCTTCCCCAGCCCCTGTCCTTGCCTTCCTCTTTCACAGCCAAAAGTGCCAATGAAATGAAGCTCAGCAGAGGGTTTTTAGGGGAATATTGAGGCATCCAGTTATGAAAAAATAAAATCTTCATGTTGGTAGAAGAGAGTAAACCCTGAAAACGATTCACTGAGTATAACAGTAAAGTAGAAATGCTACTGCAACCTTCCCCAGCCTGGCAGGCCTTCCCTTAGGTCCCTCCGCTACCCCCATTTTTTTTTTTTTTGGTCAAATCATGGTACATCTGAAGTGTTAATGGGTAGTCACCCAACACATAGATGCTCCCTATGTGTATAGCATGCAATCACTTTGGAAATAGACGGCTGACTTTGATGCATCTCAATTGTAAATGGAGACAGCTATCTTTATTTTAATTACACTAAAAAAAGTCTCCTCAAAAATGCATAGCCCATGAGGTATTACACTGTTGGCTGTTTAACATGGAAAGTTTGAATTCTTGTTAAAATGTAGAGAAATTCATTTTAAACCAGGTTTTGTACTGCCTTATTCTAAAATGTTGCCTTTATCATTCCATGAATTTCTCAAAGGCTCTTGTCTAGAAATAGGATTCCACTCAGAATTCATTCCATTGACTAAAAATCAGCACAATTAAAAAAATAAACAACAACCTGAACATTGTTTATTATGAACCATCTGATATGGTAAATCAGGCCAAATTCCCCTCAGGGGCAAAAACACAGAGCACCTGTGTGGATCAGAAAACAGAGGGCCTGGTCTAGTTCTGTTCCTAACTAGCTTTGTGACTTTGGGCAGGCCCAGCCTTTCTCTGCCTTAGTGTCTGCCACACAAAATTAAGAAAAAGGAATGGTACATGTTATAAATCCACCTACTTGATGGTACCACCTAGTAATGGAATTAGGCTACAGCTATAGAGAAACTGGGCAGGGGTAGCCCCACTAAGTCTAAAAGTAAACTGGAATATTTATTTCCTATAGGCCAACTAGTAGTCTAATCAGTAAAGCTGTTAAACTTGCAATAATATTTCACTGATGTGTACCAGAGCGTTGCAAGTTATAAAATTTCCAATTTAATTTTACTGCATCCCTGAAGCCGTAGTAATTAGAAGACAAACTCACAGGGAAGATGTTTACAGCTTCAGGGGTGATAATTTTGAACCTGTTCTGCAGGTCACTTCTGTCCTCAAGGTTCCCCGATTTGACAGCTGCGTGTAGATTTAGGATTTTTTTGTAATACTGCACTAGCTCGTCATTCATATGATGGGAGCAGATGTAGATGACATTCACATTGGCATCTAAAAACAACAGGCACAATGTTAATTACTAGTATGAAGGTAAATGACATTATGAACTCTGGCATCCGATTGATGTTGTATAGTTTAAAATAAAAAGCATATCCAAAAGCCACGCTGAGGTTAATTTAGATTGGTTTTGTACTATATGAGCAATCTAACTGCCTATTTTACAGTTCAGCATTTCTCTGAAGAAAATATAAATTACACGCCACCAATGAAACAGATGCAATGATTCCTTCAGAAGGAGGGCTGTGAGATACCTTGGAAATGTACTTTCAAATAATACATAGGGATTTAGCCACGCAACTCCCATTAACATCAATGGGAATTGCATACTGCTTTAACATTTTATTCCATTAACTTCAGTAAGTTATAAAACAGAGCTATTAACTTTAGAAAGCTGATGAAATTGCAATTTCTTATTCTGCATGGACTTGACAGGGTAAATTCAGGGAATGTCCTGTTCAAATAAATGGTCTGCTTATAACCATAGCAATGATTATTTCAGGAAACCAACCTTTCCCCTGCTTGATTCCCAAAATGGAGTATATTACTTACATAGCACATCTAGTGATTCGTGGTTGAAAGGAAACACTGTCTTAATTTAACTTTTCTCCTTCTTAAGATGTGCTTCTTACATGTAACATAGGAAGAAACCCTAATTAAATATCCCATCCAAATGGAATAGTGAAATAAGAGTATCTATTCCACACTGCAGAATATTTCAGGGAGTATAAATAGGAAATCAGCAGTCAATGAAGTAATTCATTTGTTCATTCATTCATTCATTCACAAAATAGCTGACTGATCTGTAGGGGCAAAGCCCTTGGCTAGACATGGAGGAAAATATAGCAGTCATTGTGGGCAAGTTGAAGCACACACACCAGGTTCTTAGAGAAGTTCAGAGGAGGGAGCGCTGGAAACGTTTTCTTAGGCAAGGAGGGCCAAGAGGGGATTTTAAGACTCATCTGATCGGTTTGGTAGAGTACATATACACAGCATAGACTGATAAAATTCTAGTTATTTAACCTTTCTAAGCATTCATTTCTTCATCTGTAAAAAGGGGAATAAAACCGCCTGGGGTGTAGAGTTATAGACAGTATTAAGTGAGTGAAGATACAGAAAGTATTTGTTGCCACATCTGGCACACAGTAAGTGCTCAAGAAGCAGCACAGATGGGTGAATGTGCTCCTGGCCCACCCTGACTAGGCTAGACAACAGTGACTCCCCAGCTGCCACACACCTACGTTTCTTTTGATCAGTGCCTTAAGATTTAATATGAAGTAGTGTCCTCTGTGGCTCTAGCCTACTGTTTCCAATCTATTAATCTTGTCTCTCCAAGCTCCTTAAAGGCAATGTTGGTACTATTTCTTATGTTGCCCCAAGCCCTGGTATAGGCTGGAATATGTAGGAGTCATTCAATAAACACTTGTTGACTGACTGAAGGGATTATGGAGAGATTGGGAAAGTTGTGAAAATCTTTTATGCTTAGATGCAGGGCTTATAGGAGAAATCTCCCTCCCCAGAGACCTAGAGGTGGTGTTTTCTGAACTGGCCCAGTGCTAGGCCGAGAGCAGGTGCTCCATACATGTGAATATTTACGTGGCTCCCATTTAATTTTGAAACATAAACCTCAAAATAAGTTAACTGAGGAGACAGTGAATAAATAACTTGCATCAAATTGCTGAATCATCATTGGTCATCCTAACTCTTGTGTTTTGAAGAAGAGACTAGCATCTAACCAAATTACAATAGAGGTTTTAAAAGTCAAAGTAATGAGTTTTTTTTTTTTTAAACTATGAAACAGTAGGGCAGAAAAACAAGAAAAATAGCTTATAGACTGTAGCAGATGAAAAATAAATTTTTTCTTAGGAAGAAAATTTCTAGGTTACAAATGATAAAAGGAATCATGTTGCCAATTTCACCTTTCCTGTTGATTTCTGGCAAAGGAATACATATCACTAACTCTAATATTCAGTATTAATGGGTTTTATCATAAATCTACATATGTTCACAATTAATTGACAGGTAATTTTGGAAAGGAATTGATAAGAAGATGAAACTTTCTTTGATTGCTAGTCAGTAATCAGTCACTTTCTTGCTAAACTCATCTAGGAACTGAAAATACTGGCTACTGGGGTCTCCACCTGATAATCATGACTTCACAGCCAAACAAAGATAATCCAATCACAAGCCTTACCAGTATGCTTGGATTATCTTTGTTTACCCAAATAAGAAGGAAAAAACCATAAAGGATAATTACTTATTGTTTCATAAAATTATTAAAAATTTTTCTGGTTTATTCATGTTTTTATTTCATAAGTACTTTTTTTTAAATCTGACTACTATTTCTAAACTTTTATTACTCTTCTTGAAGACATTTTATGATTGCATTGCCATATCATGAAGACAATATACCAAGAAAAAGGCATTTGGTTCATAATCTCTTAGAAATGTTCATAAAAGCAAAATGTTCCACTGCAGGTAGAGACAGACTGAATTATAGAGTTGTTTAAAATAGAAGCCTAATACTTTCAAGTCTTTTCCAATAATGAGAATCTTTTATAAAGAGATGATTTAGTGATAGCTTATACTATATATAGAAAGGGATATAAAAAGCCAAGGAAAAAAATTAATTCGAATAAATTAGAGCAAAGTCTGCCCTCTGCTGCACTTCAGTGGTTTCCATCCAGTCAGTTTTAGTTGAAATGGCTTAGCATTAACAAATCAATCTTGAGTCATTAAATTTTTTTCGTAATGCTGAAACATCTTAGTGCCTAGATAATAGATTAAAGCAATTACGATTATTATTTTAGGACACTGTAAATTTCTAGTACTGATGTATTTTTGCTACCAAATGGCATTTATAAAATAATAATGATGCTGAAATATATATGAATCATGTAAAGTATGTCATTCCACGGAGCCAGCTAAGTTGGTCATTGATAATTTAAAATTCTTCCTTGTTTTTCTTAAATAAGGGCCAAAGCAATTATATTTTAACAAAACAAAGAAGTTCTTATTTGATAACTAATAAAAATCTAATTTGTGTGTCATCTTGAATTTTGGGCCAGTATCTCACAAACAGATTCAATGATACTGCTTAGCTTTTGCAACCTATATTCTAGAGCCTAATCTGAACCCTGGCCTTAGATAGTGTCAACCAAAGCTGTCACATTAAGGCATCCTTCTCTCTTGGCTCCAGATGGGTATGTGATTAAGAACTGACCAAACCAGTATCAGAAATTGACTTGAACAAAGATGTATCCATGACTCAATCAAGGTCTGTTTTTCTAAAAATTCCCTCCATAAGGCACTTCACATTTTCAAATAACATGATGCTCTATATTTATATAAAAACTTCTTTTAAAAATCTATCTTCATTTTCGCCTTTTTCTTCTTATGAAAACACAGTGCTTCATTTCTGATACCACCTTTCACTCATTTCCCAGATGCTTTAAGTGACAAGACTGACACGAATGTGAAATTTTGACTCCATTTACTGCAAGATTCAGTAAATAAAGATTTTGGTGTATAGAAGAGAAATGCTGATCCAAACCTGTAGCAAAGAGAATCTAGAAAACTGCCCAAGTAACTTGGTTAAAATGTCCTTTTTTAATTCAAGTTGACTTTACTACAAATCTGTTTTTTAAAATAAAACATTTAATTGCCCTGTAAGTAGATTTAAAATCTGAGCTTTTTCCTTGTAGAGGAAAAAAATAAGCAAAAACAAAACAAAAAAACATTCTATCAACATCCACTGATAAAGATTCCAGAGTCATTTGTGTACAACTATTTACTGTACCTAAGATGTCACACAGCCTCCCCAGCTGCATGTTCTGCTGTATGTCGAAATCAGCAATATGTTCTCTCACAGGCTGGGAATACCCTAAAAAGCAAACAAGTTGTCAAAACCCAGAAAGAGCAAGTCAATATAGCAAAATGGCACAAGAGAATTTCAAAATGTCACAGTCCACATTTCTAGGAAAAAATTTTCTCTGAAGCATCTTACAGAAACAATCCAATCCCGAGGAATGGGGTCCTTGTTTCTTGGGGGAATTAAACATTATTTTGGAAGATGTGCTAAGCAACATACTCTGCAACAGAGAGGTTCACATTTTTCAATACCATCAAGGCTGCTAAGAATCAAAATGATAAAACATGGAGAAAATTTCTGACATGCAATATGAATGTTTAAAAGGATGTGTAAGAAAATGATGCTCAGGTTAAAAAAATATTGTTTTAGTTTCTTAATGGGCGCTTCCTATGTGGTATTTTGAAGATGTGTTCCACAATCATTCTAAAGTGACACATAGATTTCAGATAAATCCCTTGCTGTCAGAAATATGTGTTTAAATAATTCAAATACTAAAGAAATCAACATCTGCTGACAGTCAAAAGAACTTTTCACCCTCAAAGGGCAAGAAAGGCTAATGCAGTTACTTTGTCAATACTAATAAAAGTCCTGCAGTTTGCCTTTGTTTCCACTGGGAACGCAGCAGAAGGGAAAACACATATAGATGACTATTGTCCAAAAATCTCACAAACAACAGCAAAAACCCTTTCTGCTGATATTTCAGGTCATTTGAAAAGTGAATCAAAACATAAAAACCATGCGTACTCACAAGCAGGTATAATTGCTTATATGAAATTCAGCAACTGTAGGTGCAACTTTTTTTTTGCTTTATAAAATTCCTTTTCACATTTTGAAGAGATGCTTCAATGCCTCCTTGTGGTTAGTGAGCCCAAACACATGTTTCAAGTTAAACTGCTCTAGATAAAGTGATTTTATACACTACATCTTCAAGATGTGACACACATTTCCTTTTCAGCATAAGGAAAACTATAGCAATTCAGGCAATGGGGCTTCAGACCAAATGAACTTTGGTAATTGGCTCTTTGCTTTGATGTCAGTGTTTAAACACTAGACAACGTCTGGAAATTAAATGTCTTTACAATCATCTAAAAGTCTCTCTTTGCTTTGCATCTGGACTTACAAATTAAAGAGAGAGGCAGAAGGACAAATGAGCTATTTGAATCATTTTTGAAAAATTATTAATCTCTCAAATAATTTAGATAACAATTCCACATATAAAAGCTAATATAGGCAGTTACAACTCCAACGATGTCTCTATGTGTGACTACAATATTGTAACTTGGAATTTTGCATATGTATAATTTTATCTATATTCAAATAAATGTTTAGAAAGATGTATTGTGGATAACTTATATAGCAAGGCTATAGCAAAGACTATAAAAAGACAGGAAAATGCCTAAAGAATAAAGTGTGATTAAGAAAAGTGCCTGAGAGCATTCCATGACTGCATTTCCTTTCAAAAGTAAAGATAAAAGGCAGTATGTCTCATTAAGATGATGTCCAATTTAAAATATAAAGGATGTCTGATCACTTTGTTGCTGCATGTGTAGCATGTGAGTGAGTAAGTCTGTGCTCCATTCCAATGGTTGAGGTCATTTTTCCAACAAATTACTTGGGACCTTTACCACAGATCAAGAAGGCATATAAAACGTTTACATAGAACACACTCATTTTAAAGAAGCGTATGCTAATCCTGGAATATTGTTATAGAGAATCATATGCAGTTACAGATATGAAAACATCTTGTGAGCTGTAAAGTGCTGTATAAGCACAAGGTATTTTAATGTTACAAGGTATGCATGTTTCCAAAACATATAACAACAACAACAAACTCTGTGACAAGCAACAGCCACCATTCTACATGGACAAGATACAATGCAATGTAAAATGACATCAGCAGATCAGAAGTTGGAAGTCAGTATTTTTTTAAGTCAGGCTTCTTTTGTTTTGTACATCCATAAAGTGCATGTGTTGACAGGTGAAAAGATTTCATCAATGCTGGTAGCATGTATTAAACCTAACAGTGACTTAACCAGGAAATTATCAACAAGGATGTGGTTTGGGGGAGTTCAGTAGATATGCCTCGTGACAAGGAGACATTACGCTCTGGACTATAATATACAATGACATGGTTTCTTCCAGGGTCTGACTGGGAACACTGATGGAGTTCTGAGAAATCATCAACTTCAATCCTGTCATATTATAGATAAGGAAACTCAAGGTAAGTGTGTTGTCTCTTGTCCATGGTCACATAAACCTACAAATTATTATATAGTTCAGATACTACATATTAGCTCTTGTGAGAAATTTAGTTATATAAAAGACAAGACTCATCCAGGCTGAAGTGCAGGGGTGTGATCTCGGCTCACTGCAACCTCCGCCTCCCCAGTTCAAGCAATTCTCCTGCCTCAGCCTCCCGAGTAGCTGGGACTACAGGCATGTACCACCACGCCTGGCTAATATATTTTTCTTTTTTTGTATTTTTAGCAGAGACAGGGTTTCACTGCCTGCCTCAGCCTCCCAAAGTGCTGGGATTACAGGTGTAAGCCACTGTGCCCAGCCAAAAACGTCCAAGTTCTAATATCCATAACCAGTGAATATATTAGGTAATATATATTAGGTTACAAAGGAGAAATCAAGTTGCAAATGGAATTAAGTTTGCTATCAACTGACCTGAAAAAAAAAAGAGATTATCCCAGATTATCTGGCTGGGCCAGATGTAATTGTCAGAGTCCTTAAGAGTGGGAGAGGGCTGCAGAAGAGAAGAGTTGCTAGGTCTCTACTGAGGCAATAAGGTCCTACTCATCATGGGGGTACGCCTAACCACCCTTTCTACAGTTCTTAGTCTCCCTTCACTGTTCTCTTGCACCCTTTCTTCACCACCTAGTTCTCATTTTGTCATTACCTACTTCTTGGCTTGCTTGCTTACTTTATTGTCCATCTCTTCTTTCACCTGCACCACTCTAGCTCCTGTAACCAGACTATTAGCTATGTTACAGCAGGTACTTGTGAAATCTCCAGTTGAATAATGAATGAGGAGAGATCCAAAATGGCTGATTACCAGCAGCTCAGGATTGTAGCTCCCACCGAAAGCGCAGAGAACGAGAGGACACCACACTTTCAGATGAATTTTTGTTCCTCAAGGACCAGGAGATTCCTAGCGGAGGAGCCCCACGGGTCGCCAGTGCGACTCTTGTGGCCGGCGTGGTGATTTTGCCAGCGCCCCTGCATGGCAGTTCTTGGTGCAGAGTAAATGGGACGGGGTCCCCTTTCAGTCGACATTTGCAGCTCCGGGAAGGCAGAGTCGCCTATTCAGCTGATTGAAAAAGGGACCCTGTTTAATAAATGATGTTGGGAAAACTGGCTAGCCATGTGCAGAAAGCAGAAACTGGACCCCTTTCTGACACCTTACACTAAAATTAACTCCAGATGGATTAAAGACTAAACATAAGACCTAACACCATAAAAACCCTAGAGGAAAATCTAAGCAAAACCATTCAGGACATAGGCATAGGCAAGGACTTCATGACCAAAACACCAAAAGCATTGGCAACAAAAGCCAAAATAGACAAATGGGACCTAATCAAACTCCACAGCTTCTGCATGGCAAAAGAAACAGTCATTAGAGTGAATCGGCAACCAACAGAATGAGAAAAAATTTTTGCAGTTTACCCATCTGACAAAGGGCTGATATCCAGAATTTACAAAGATACAAAAAATCTATTTACAAAATAGATTTACAAGAAAAAAACAAACAAGCCCATTCAAAAGTGGGCAAAGGATATGAACAGACACTTTACAAAAGAAGACACACATGAGGACAACAAACATATGAAAAAATGCTCATCATCACTGGTCATTAGAGAAATGCAAATCGAAACTACATTGAGATACCATCTCACACCAGTTAGAATGACGATCATTAAAAAATCTGGAGACAACAGATGCTGGAGAGAATGTGGAGAAATAGGAACACTTTTACACTGCTGGTGGGAGTGTAAATTAGTTCAACCATTGTGGAAGACAGTGTGGCGATTCCTCAAGGACCTAGAAATAGAAATTCCATTTGATCCAGCAATCCCGTTACTGGGTATATATCTAAAGGATTATAAATCGTTCTACCATAAGGACACATGCACACTAATGTTCATTGCAGCACTGTTTACAATAGCAAAGACCTGGAACCAACCCAAATGCCCATCGGTGATAGACTGGACAGGAAAAATGTGGCACATATACACCATGGAATATTATGCAGCCATCAAAAACGATGAGTTCGTGTCCTTTGTAGGGACGTGGATGAACCTAGAGATCATCATTCTCAGCAAACTGACACAAGAACAGAAAATGTAATACTGCATGTTCTCACTCATAGGCGGGTGTTGAATAATGAGAACACATGGACACAGGGAGGGGAGCACTACACACTGGGGTCTGTTGGGAGGAATAGGGGAGGGACAGCGGGGGGTGGGGAGTTGGGGAGAGATAGCATGGGGAGAAATGTCAGATATAGGTGAAGGGGAGGAAGGCAGCAAATCACACTGCCACGTGTGTACCTATGCAACTACCTTGCATGTTCTTCACATGCACCCCAAAACCTAAAATGCAATAAAAAAAAAAGGGACTCAAGAGGGAAGCCAGACTGGAGATTCCTGGACAGAAAAGCACCATCAATCTTAACACCGCTGTTTTAGCTGGTGCAGTGGGTTGCTCAGATTCCGGTGCTGGGAATCAACAAGTTGAACGTCCACTCAGAGATCTAATTTGAAAGTCGGTAATTACAAAGACAACAGGTGGATAAATTTACAATGATGGGAAGAAACCAGCGTAAAAAGGCTGAGAATACCCAAAATCAGAATGCCTCTTCCTCTACAGGGGATCACAGTTCCTCATCAACAAAGGAACAGGGCCTGATGGAGAATGAGTGCCTTCCATTAACAGATTAGGCTTCAGAAGGTGGACAATAAGAAACTTCTCTGAATTAAAAGAACATGTTCTAGCCCAATGTAAAGAAACTAAGAACCTTGAAAAAGGGTTTGATGAAATCCTAATGAGAATAGACAATTTAGAGGGGAATATAAGTGAAATAATGGAACTGAAGAATACAATAGGAGAACTCCGCGAAGTATGCACAGGTTTAACAGTTGAATTGATCAAGCAGAAGAAAGGATATCAGAGGTCAAAGAGCAACCTAATGAAATGAAACGAGAAGACAAGATTAGAGAAGAAAGAGTAAAAAGGAATGAGCAAAGTCTCCAAGAAATATGGGACTATGTGAAAAGACCTAATTTACGTTTGATAGGTGTACCTGAATGTCATGAAGAGAATGAATCCAAGCTGGAAAATATTCTTCAGGATATTATTCAGGAAAACTTTCCTAACCTAGTAATGCAGGACAATACTCAACTCCAAGAGAACACTACAAAGATATTCCTCAAGTAGAGCAACCCCAAAAAACATAATTGCTAGATTCACCAGGGTTGAAATAAAGGAGAAAATTCTAAGGGCAGCTAGAGAGAAAGGTCAGGTTACCCATAAAGGGAAGCCTATCAGACTCACAGCAGATCTCTCAGCAGAAACCCTACAAATTAGAAGAGAGTGGGGGGTCAATATTCAATATCCTCAAAGAAAAGAATTTTCAACCCAGAATCTCATATCCAGCCAAACTAGGCTTCATAAATGAAGGAAAAATGAAAATTTTCACGAACAAGCAAGCATTCAGATTTCATCACCACCAGGCCTGCTTTACAAGAGCTTCTGAAAGAAACACTATACACAGAAAGGAACAACCAGTATCAGTCATCCCAAAAACTTACCAAAAGGTAAACAGTATTTCCATAATGAAGAATCTATATCAACTAATGGGTAAAATAGCCAGCTAGCATTAAATGACAATATTAAACTCACAAATATCAATATTAATCCTAAATTTAAATGGATTAAATGCCCCAAAGATACAGATAGGCAAATTGAATAAAAAGTCAAAACCCATCAGTATGCTGTATCCAGATCCATCTCATAAGCAAGGACACACAAAGACTCAAAACAAAGGGTTGATGGAAGACTTATCAATCAAATGGAGAGAAAAACAAACAAACTGAGTTGTAACTTTTGTCTCTGACAAGATAGACTTTAATAGTAACAAAGACTATAAGAAACGAAGGACAAAAGGATCAATGCAACAACAGGAGTCAATGATCATAAATATATATGCACCCAATATAGGAACACCTAGATACATAAGACAAGTTCTTAATGACTTATAAAGAGACTTGGACTCCCGCACAATAATAGCAGGAGACTTTGACACCACATTGTTAATATTCAATGGATCAATGAGATAGAAAACTAACAGGGATATCTATGATTTGAACTCAGACCTGGAACAAGTAAACTCAGTGAATATTTACAGAATTCTTCATCTCAGGTCTACAGAACATACATTTTTCTCAGTATCACATAATACCTATTTTGAAAGTGACGACATAATTGGAAGTAAATCACTCTTCAGCATTTGCATAGCATTTCACAGACTTGAATGAAATACTGGTTGGTTATTATTTTCTTCCCTTATTCCTTTCTGTCTCTGCTGCTAAGCACAATTATCGGCATAAAAGAGGTTTTTAATACCTATTTTTAGATTGCATTCCAGCCTGGGCAATAGAACAAGACTCCTGTTCTCTCTCCCCCTTTCTCTTTCTCTTTCTTTAAAAAAAAAATAATAATAATAATGAATGAAACATGTATGAAGTCCCTACTCAAAAAATCTTTTTCTTTTTCTTTTTTCTACAGGGTCTCACTCTGTTGCCCAGGCTGGAGTGCACTGGTGTGATCTCAGCTCACTGCAGCCTCAACCTCCTGGGCTCAAGTGATCCTCTCACATCAGCCTCCCAAGTAGATGCAACTACTGGTACATACCACCTGCACCTGGCTAACTTTTGTAATTTTTGTAAAGACAGTGTTTCACCATGTTGCCCAGAATGATCTCAAATTCCTGGGCTAAATTGATCCTCCCACCTTAGCCTCCCAAAGCGCTGGTACTACAGGGGTGAGCCACCATGCCTGGCCTGTCTTTAAATTCTTAGCCCTTTCTCCTGTGTGTTCTCATCACCACCCCCTTCTTTCAACTTTTCTAAAACTGGGTTCTCTGAGCTGGAGAACTTCTGGGGAATTCAAAAAGTAAGTGGGATGTGTAGCTTTCTCAAGGTCCTCATTAGCACAGAATAATACAACACTAGCAGAAAGAGGCACTCTCTCTTCCTCATCACTATAGAAAGGAACACAGCCTCTTTTCTTATGGCTATTCTCATTTCCTGCAAAATACTCCTACTTTGATAGAGAGTTCCATCTTTTCTCACATAAAGTAGTTGTGAAATATTATTGTTTCTACATCAAAGAAGGTTACCTGAGAGCTGCCTCTCTGAAGTTATCAACTACTACTTCTGGTCCTCCATTGAACCAAGGTTGCTCATCAAGGGTTACTGGCAATAATTTCTCCTCCTCACTTCTAGCTTCACTAAGTTTCCCAGTCCCTTTCTGCATGAACATCTGTCTATCAGATGATACTAATAGCCTCTTTGCATCCAGCAATCTAGCCCTGCTGGGATTGGTTTTTCTTTCACAGTAGCCACAGAAACCCAAGAACATGAGCAAGGCCACGCTGAGTGACTAAGCCCCCTCGCCACTGGTGCATGCCTCTGTGACAGGCCCCTGTTGTTGCAGCAGACCACACATTCTTGAATATCAACTCCTTACCCTGTGGTTGACTCCTAGTTTCTTTTGTCTCCCGAGTCCTATTGTTTACAATGGTACTCACAGCAGAGAAGAGGTTAACAACGGACTCCTGATTACCAAGTACTGGTTGTTCATCTGATCACCCTAGCCTGGGGTGGTAGTCATTCCTGCCTCAGTTTGATGATCTGGAGCAGTCATTCTCAACCTTTTCCTCATTTTGAAACTCATGATCAGTGATGTTCAATGCATCACATCCTCCCCGTGGCATACTCAAGCTTACTCCAGCCCTTTCTCTTCTACTCAAGAAAGCACACTGGATGCAAGCTGAGGAACAGTGACATTGATACAGAGATAATCTGGGATTGCTCCAATTCATAAAAAAATTTTGGTATCCTAATGGTAGAAAAATAAGACGACACATTATATACTCACAAATGATTGCACATCAGCATCTTGTCATAATAAAGAACTGTGATCTAGATAGACACTGTGGTTGTAGCCAGGTTTTAATTACTTATGCAAGTGTGAAAGCACAAGACACTAGATGGTGGGATCCCAAAAGATGTCAAGAGACAACTCTATCTGGGTTATTTACATAGTATATCCATTGCCAGTTAGATTAAAATAAAACTGATAGTTGTTTTTTGGGGGCTATTCAAGGGGATTAGGGAATTTTGTTATAAGGATGTAGAAAACATAGAAATACATTTGTTGAGTTTTGAAAACATCCTCAAACCAAATGGGCCAAATGGATTCCCCTTCAAAAAAGTAAGGAAGTTCCCTTGTTTAAACTTATGTCAATGATTAGCATAGCACTGCATGCAACTAAAGCCAGTGGTATGAGTCCATTTCACACTGCTATAAAGAACTACCTGAGACTGGGTAATTTATGAAGAAAAAAGGTTGAACTGACTCACAGTTCCACATGGCTGGGAAGGCTTCAGAAGACTTACAATCACGGTGGAAGGTGAAGGGGAAACAAAGGCCTTCTGCACATGGTGGCAGGAGAGAGAGCGAGCGAGGCGGAAAGTCCCACACTTTAAAACCATCGGCTCTTGTGAGAACTCACTCACTATCACAAAAAAAGCAAGGGGGAAACGTGCCCTGTGATCCAATCATCTCCCACCAGGCTTCTCCTCCAACACATGAGGATTACAATTCAAGATATTTGGGTAGGGACACAGAACCAAACCATATCACCAGTGATTCTCAAATTGTGATCTGGGGACCCTGGGGGATACTGAGAACCTTTCAGGGGGTCTGCAAGGTCAAAACTATTTTCAAAATTATACTAAGATGTTCTTTGCCTTTTTCAATCTTGTTCTCTTATAAGTTACAAAAGCAAAAAGTTTATTAATATGACTGTAGAATCCACATTGCAACTATCACTTAGAATTACCATTGTTGAGTTTATATAAAGGCAAAGAAGAATATACGAGACTATCTGAAAAGGCTATGAAACATACAAAATATTCTTCCATTTTCCAAACCCTTATCTGTGTATGGCTGGATTTTCTTCATGTGCTTCAATCAAAACAACATATTACGACTGACTGAATACAGAAGGAGATATGAGAGTCCAACCATGTTCTATTAATTTTTCGGACCTGTCAGACAATCCTACTCTTCTATATTTTTTTTTTAGAAAATAATTGTGTTTCAAAAATACATTATTTAGGTTAGTGTTGGCAGTGGGCTATTATTTTTAAAATGTTAATAAATATTTTTAAAGTTACTCCTAATACAGCTAATAATGATAGATATAACCCACTTAAACCAATGTTCTTTAGAGTCTTCAATAATCATAGGTGTAAAGGGGTCCTGAGAATCACTGAACAAAGCCTTTTAATATTTTTTGTGAGAATAAAGGATTTTATCCTTCATGTTTTTTTAAATTTATTTTTATTTTTTGAGATGAAGTCTCACTCTGTCACCCAGGCTGGAGTGCAGTGGCATGATCTTGGCTCACTGCAACCTCCGCCTCCCAGGTTCAAGTGATTCTCCAGCCTCAGCCTCCCGAGTAGCTGTGACTACAGGCACGTGCTACCACGCCTGGCTACTTTTTTGTATTTTTAGTGGAGATGGGGTTTCACTGTGTTAGCAGGATGGTCTCGATCTCCTGACCTCATGAGCTGCCCGCCTTGGCCTCCCAAAGTGCTGGAATTACAGGCATGAGCCACCGTGCCCAGCCTATCTTTCATAGTTTTATCTTGGTATATGCAAAATTCTTCTTACAGCATATCTCAATATTAATAGATCTCATGAAAAGCCTATGAGCTGGAGTCACCTGATACCCAGGTCAATGCTGTTTCTGTATTTCATGGTACAACATCATATAGCTCAAGACCAATTGGGTAATTTCATATTACAAGATCACGGGACCAACTCTGATTTAACCAGCATGAACATTTCGATTACATGGGTGGATACAAATATGTGTTAATTTGGGCTATAAAACATTTGTAAAGTTTAAGTGTACTTTGTTCCTGATCCTGAAAAATCTGGATATTTGTGGGAAACGCTGTTTGGAAAGTCTTGGCAGCACATCTATACCAAGGATCTAGTATGGCAACAACATAACTAAACTATGGATTCTATACTACTTGCCAAAATATATGTTGAAGACGGAAAAGATTTTATTGGAAGTCTAGATTTTCTAGCCTGAGGTGGAAGGAACAGAGTCTATCTTGTCTTTGAGCTGTCAAAAGTAGAAAGCAGCATTGAACTGGGTATCAGGTGACTCCAGCTCAAAGCAGAGAAAGTAGAAAGGTGCCAATGTGAGTGGAGGCACCGTACAAGTGTGATTGCAGATCTAATGCTCTTGGCTGCCATCCTCCACACTGCTCCTGTTCACAAATGAAGGTGAGCTCAAGCTTTTATCTCTTGGTGGAAGAGCATGGATTTAGGAAGCAGGTGTCTCATAAGCATTTGGGACTTTCAGTTCAGCGTATGGTCAGTTGCACACAAAAGTAAGTTTCCTTAACCTTTCTTTTAGGCTTCTGTGGAAGTGCAGATGAGCTGAATAATGCTGTTATTTCATGAACTTCACAATAACAGGAGCCACAATTTTTATGCAATGAAGTATTTGAAGACCACTACTTGTTTTAACCCCAAGAATAATTTGCTGAAATAGGGCACAGAGGGAAAATATGAAACTGAACTATATATATTTTTAGTCATCAAATAAGTTGGCAATAAAATAGAAAAGATTACATGGAGAAAAGAAAAGAAAATCCCACCTCAGTTATCTCTCCTTTTACTTTAAAGAAGGAGGAGAAGTGAGAGTGGAAATTCATCCCTGGGGGTTTAACTGGCTGGCAGCAGCTTCATATACTGCTCACAGCAGCAGATCCCTATATCCTTAAAATACATCTCATTTAATGCCAATATATTTTAAAAAGCAACTGAGTTTACACATAGCACCAAGTGATGTGCTACAATAAAGCAGCACAGGGGTTAAATTAAAAGTGGTGGAAATAACTTGGCCAAAGAAACTGGGAGCAAAATCAGTCCATAGGTTTTATTTAGACATCTGGTTTTTCTAGAAGAATTAGGATTCTTGAGGTTCTCTCTCATTTGATTGATAGATTTTGTTTTTTTTCTCATTTTTAAGGTGTGCACTTTATTCAACTGGTCTCAAGTCAGTGTACAGGTAAGCCCTGGCTGCCTCCACCCACTCCCAGGGAGACCAAAAGCCTTTATACTGCTCGAGGGACAAAAAAGGGGTAGCCAGAGGCTAAAATCTTTCAAAATAAAACAAAATAAAAAAAGTATTAAGGCGAAATTTAAAAATTTTTTCATTACATAATTTACAACAAAAGCAATGCTGTTACCTCCCCTGTGTGGACTCGGGAGAGAACTGGGCCATTCTCCTTAGAGAGAAGTGGGGTGGCTTTTGGGAGGGCAAGGGACTTCCTGTAACAATGCATCTCACGATATTTGGAATGACTTAAAAAAAACAATGTACACAATCAAGTCCTCGGCCACATTGTAGAACTTTGGGGGATGCTCGCTCCAACCGACTGCTGTCACCTTCACGGTTCCAGTTTTTAAATCCTGAGTCAAGCCAAAAAAAATAACCAAAACAAAACAAAAAAACAAATAAAGCCATGCCAATCTCATCTTGTTTTCCGCGCAAGTTAGGTTTTGTCAAGAAAGGGTGTAACGCAACTAAGTCACAGTCCGCCTAGAAGCATTTGCGGTGGACGATGGAGGGGCCGGACTCGTCGTACTCCTGCTTGCTGATCCACATCTGCTGGAAGGTGGACAGCGAGGCCAGGATGGAGCCACTGATCCACACAGAGTACTTGCGCTCGGGAGGAGCAATGATCTTGATCTTCATCGTGCTGGGTGCCAGGGCGGTGATCTCCTTCTGCATCCTGTCAGCGATGCCAGGGCACATGGTGGTACCGCTAGACAGCACTGTTGGCATACAGGTCTTTGCGGATGTCCACGTCACATTTCACGATGGAGTTAAAGGTAGTTTCGTGGATGCCACAAGATTCCATGCCCAGGAAAGAAGGCTGGAAGAGTGCCTCAGGGCAGCGGAACCGCTCTTTGCTGATGGTGATGACCTGACCATCGGGCAGCTCATAGCTCTTCTCCAGGGAGGAGCTGGAGGCCGCCGTGGCCATCTCCTGCTCGAAGTCCAGGGTGACGTAGCACAGCTTCTCCTTGATGTCACACACGATTTCCCGCTCAGCTGTGGTGGTGAAGCTGTAGCCGCGCTTGGTGAGGCTCTTCATGAGGTAGTCAGTCAGGTCCCAGCCAGCCAGGTCCAGACATAGGATGGCGTGGGGGAGGGCATACCCCTCATAGATGGGCACAGTGTGGGTGACCCTGTCACCGGAGTCCATCACGATGCCAGTGGTACGGCCAGAGGCGTACAAGGAGAGCACAGCCTGGATGGCCACATACATGGCTGGGGTGTTGAAGGTCTCAAACATGATCTGGGTCATCTTCTCACGGTTGGCCTTGGGGTTCAGGGGGGCCTCAGTAAGCAGCACAGGGTGCTCCTCAGGAGCCACACGCAGCTCGTTGTAAAAAGTGTGGTGCCAGATCTTCTCCATGTCATCCCAGTTGGTGACAATGCCATGCTCGATGGGGTACTTCAGGGTCAGGATGCCTCTCTTGCTCTGGGCCTCGTCACCCACGTAGGAGTCCTTCTGACCCATGCCCACCATCACGCCCTGGTGCCTGGGGCGCCCCACAATAGAGGGGAAGACGGCCTGGGGAGCATCGTCACCCGCGAAGCCAGCCTTGCACATGCCGGAGCCGTTGTCGACAACAAGTGCAGCGATATCATCATCCATGGTGAGCTGGCGGCGGGTGTGGACAGGCGACGGAACGGCAAGGGCAAAGCTCTGTGCTTGCGGGGCGGACACAGTCTCGGCGGTCGATAGATTTTGTTTAAAATAGATCCTAATATTTTATTCCTGTTAAGAACTACTGTAGATTACTTTGTTATAATTATATTTCATTAATAAAGATGATAAAATATGTAATATCCAATTAAGAGATCAGCCTATAAACTCTGAAAAATGTTTCTGTATCACCTTATAAAATTACAAGGCAAATCAGGTTTTTTTGACAGCAGCATTCCACTTTTCTTGTGGGTTAAAAATAGCTAAAATTTTGGTGATATCTAAGAATACTACCTAAAATATATAACAATCAATCAAGTTTCATAAGTCCTCTTTTCAAAGAGGTTACTCCACAATGTTTAACTGTCTTACTGTTCATATTATCAAGCCATAGATTTTAAAATAGTTTATAAATATTTTGTGGTCAAAAACATTACTGCAAGGCCATCCTTTCTGTAATCACCAGTTTTGAAAAGGCAATTATTCCCACGTGTGCAAAACTGCATAAAGAACAGACCGCTTACAACTACAATATATTATGCAGTTATCAGCTACTTAGCTTTCATTTGAAGGGTTCAAACAAGTTAGTGCAGCCCCAATTGGCTAGTGGCATGGTGTAATTATTTGTAGAGCTAATTCTACAGCAAATTTCCTATGGAAAGAGAAAAAGAGGACAAGGCTGCTACTTGTGTTAAATGCCTACCTGAACCAGACAATCCTACCATCTGATTTTGACTAGAGAATCTGTTTCAACTCTGGAAATGAAATTACTAAATAGATTCGTTTCTTTGCAGTATATTTAGAGAAAAAAACTTGTTTCACTTTTATCCACTTCAATTTTTTTTTTTTTTGAGATGGAGTCTTGCTCTGTCGCCAGGCTGGAGTGCAGTGGCATGATATTGGCTCACTGCAACCTCCGCCTCCAGGGTTCAAACAATTCTCCTGCCTTAGCCTCTCGAATAGCTTGGACTACAGGTACATGCCATCATGCCTAGCTAAGTTTTGTATTTTTAATAGAGACAGGGTTTCACCATTTTGGCTGGGATGGTCTCAATCTCTTAACCTTGTGATCCACCCACCTCAGTCTCCCAAAGTGCTGGGATTACAGGTGTGAGCCACCATGCCCCGCCTATCCACTTCTATTTTTATGAATTGTATAGGTAAGTCTCTGGCACTAAGACAAAGAAGTTTGTGGCATCTAGCTGAAATCATATTTAAGGACTCCCAGGGATGTGGTACACAAAAAAAGGGTACCCTATATCCTTAAAAATATATACACGGTTTGAGAATTCTGTCTGTGGAATAGGTAGGAGATGACAAGCTTGTTGTTACTTAATTTAATGCCCACAAGCCATTTTTATAAAATCCAAAGCACAGATTGTAGAATCAAATAGTATATGATCTAAGGTACTGTCCTCTTTTGAAAGTGTGCAATTGAGAAATGCTCAATTGAGAAAAATATCTGTGCTTGTCCTTATCTCTTAGCAATTACATAATTGGCAGTTTTTCTTTAAAAAGGGTAGCATGTTGTTAACAAACAAAAATTGCTACATTAGGGAAGACCTGCATATGTATTATGCGTTTATTTAAACTGAATATGAGTAATCTAGAAGAAAATTAGTTTTAATATCACATTTAAAATAATGTTTTCTATTTATAGCTTCTTTGACCAGATAATTCTCCAACTTAATTCATTTTATTTTAATTTTTTTAGAGACAGTGTCTCACTGTCGCCCAGGCTGGAATGCAGTGGGATGATCATAGCTCACTGTAATCTCAAACTCCTGGGCTCAAGTGATCTTCTCACCTTAGCCTTCTCAGGAGAAGGGATACAGGCCTGTGCCACCATGCCTGGCTAATTTTTAAAATATTATTATTACTATTTTTTAAATGGAGTTTCACGCTATTGCCCAGGCTGGAGTGCAATGGCTTGATTTGGCTCACTGCAACCTCTGCCACCCAGGTTCAAGCAATTCTCCTGCCTCAGCCTTCCAAGCAGCTGGGATTACAGGTGCCTGTCACTGTGCCCAGCTAACTTATATATTTTTAGTAGAGACGGAATTTCACCATCTTGGCCAGGCTGGTCTTGAACTTCTGACCTCATGATCCACCCACCTCAGCCTCCCAAAGTGCTGGGATTACAGGCATGAGCCACCATGCCCGGCCTTGAAATATTTTTAAAGAGACAGGGTCTCGGGCCAGGCATGGTGGCTCACATCTCTAATCCCAGCATTTTGGGAGACCAAGGTGGGTGGATCATGAGGCCAGGCTTTGAGACCAGCATGACCTGGCAGACATGGTGAAACCCCATCTCTTCTAAAAATACAAAAATAAGCCAGGCATGGTGGTGGGTGCCTGTAATCACAGCTACTCGGAGGCTGAGGCAGGAGAATTGCTTGAACCTGGGAGGCAGAGATTGCAGTGAGCCAAGATCACACCACTGCACTCCAGCCTGGGCGATAGAGCAAGACTTTGTCTCAAAAAACAAAACAAAACAAAAAAAAAGAGACGGGGTCTCACTATGTTGTTCAGGTTGGTCTTGAACTCCTGGCCTCAAGCAATCCTCCTGAAGGGCTGGGAACTCCCACTTAATTTATATTCCTTTTTGAAATTTTAAGACACTTTCACTCAATTTTTTTTTATTACCCAGTTTACATAATGATTACTTTTAAATTTTTACTTCTTCGGAGACTCCTTTGTATCAAGCTTCTCTCAGAGCTGACTGCATGGAAATTTTTAGGAGGGTCAGAGGTGGGAGTGCAGGAGTAAAGAAGTATGTGTCTATCAGGCCTTTGTGCTAAGCAACTTTGCAAAGTGGGGGCCCTGTTTCTGGCTCTCATTTTGAATAAAACAGAGAAAACAAAACAAAATTTCCCATATAATATCAGGTCAGGTCTACAATTAGTTGCAGAAGCAAAGGCTCTTGTACCTTATTCGAAGGACTCGAGTCAACTAATTGGGTCTGCAATTAGCCTCTTCAGTTGCAATCAATTACAAGCGCAATTTCTGTGTGTGAACTAATTTTGTGTGTAAAAGCAGTCTCACCAAAACAAAAGCCTAACTTAGAAAAGAATTCAGATCTGTCTTACCTTACTTAGATCGTAAGAAGAAATAAATTTCTTTCATGAACCATGAAAACCAAAACTAAAAGTCTCTGTGCAGTGCAAATATTTTCTTAACTTTCTGTAAGTACTTAGATCTAAGTATTCCAGAATCTAGAAAAGATTGCCTTATTTTGTTACTACTGATATTTTACTAATTTAAAAATAATTATATTTATATAGTAACTTAAAAGTTTTTTCTTTTCATATTACCGTTCAAATGTGTTATGTTTCTATACTACACATAAGTACACAAACTGGTTATACTCACATATGAACATGAATACACTACAATCCAGAATTCCGTTACAATAGGTCACTTAATGCATTGCTCTACTTAAAAGACTTTAACAAAGAGCTATATGAATGTAACATGGAGATTCAATGCGTTGTGCTGTTTGTCAAAACTCTACCAAGTTAGCTTTGGAAGTGTGACCTCACCAAGGAAATTTAATACACTAGGTAGACACAAAACAAAACAAAAACAAAATAGGCAAACAAATCCCAAACATGTTGACAGCAGCTCATGTCTTAAAAAGAAACTCCAATGCAAATTTCTGAAATTCCAAATGTCATTTTGGCATACCTATTTTACCAGTGTGCTTCAGACAACAGCTTTTAAGTTCCCCAATTCATAAATGTAATTAAATAATTACATTAGTGCTAATTAACATGAAACTGCAGATTATTTAAGCGCAAAAAACACTATTCAACTTCTTAATTATTCTTGTTCACACAGCATTTCCTTTTGCTCAGGCGCCCTAGGTGCAAATAAAGCATCCCATCTGCTCGTAATTAGAACTAAATAATTTCAGAGAATGTAGCTTATCATTTTGACTGCACATTTGATTAAAAACAGTGTACAAGCAATATCCTGGCTTATTGGCGTAACAGCAACAATACATACAAGCCTGTGTTCTATCATTAAAGAAGATCGAAAACATTATCTGTTATTTCAGGGGGGAAAATACAACTTTTTAGTTCATTTCATACAGATGAAAGCGAATTACAGCAAATCACCTCTCCACTGAATAGCAGCCCCCACATAATGACTTTATTTGCTTAATCCCCAAATTAAACGCCGTTTCGAGCGAGGGCCCTGTGTTATTACTCTCATCATGTCGAGAACATTTTCCTGCCGAGACCAATTTGAATAAAACAAGGGGCCTTCCTTGAACTCAATCAAGGAGCCATAATGTGGTGGGTAATAGAGGTTGCTGATAGATTTGCAGGCAAAAGTGTTATACCTAATGATGGGATATGGATAATAGTCCTCCTGGAGGTCCTGATGCGATTCCAGTTGGCTGCCAGATGCTAAAAATCAAGAAGAGCATTGATCAGTGACAGGAAGCTGTAGTGGATTCATCTAGTCAAACTTCAGCTGTTTTTCCACTGTACAGTTAAGCCAGGCATAAATTATATTAATTGATTTAATTACATACTTAAAACATCTTCCCCAATTAATTTAATTAGGTGGCTACATGATGCTACTGGCAGGGGAAGATTAGAGGCAGCTCACTTAATTAACAGAATATGAATGAAAAAAAGAGAAAGCAAACATAAATGAAATTGTGAGCACTAATTAAAAGGCTGTCTGCAAACTTAAATACTTTCTGACAAAGTGGTGACAGCAATGCAGACGAGAGAATTTTTTTTTTTTCTGAGCAAATTAAAGTGCCAGAAGGTATATATAGGGAGAAAAGGTAATGTAGTTAAAACATTGATTTTCTGACAGAACTACCACAGCCAAAGTGAAGGGACTTTTTTTTTCTATAGAAAAATTGCAACAGATTTTGCAGGCACGATAGCCAGATTCCTGATTAGGGCTAAAATATGATGCACAAACAAACGTAGGTTTTGCGCATCATACGTTGAGGGGAGTGAAAGGGAAGAGAGTCTGAAGGGGGAGGGTAGTTGGAGAGAGAAAGGGAAGATAAAGAGACAACTTATTGCAATCACTCAAGCACGAAATGTTTAGAAAAAGAGGTCTGCCTTAACAGCTGGCAGCCATGTGAACCTTGGCTCGAATGCGGAAATTCTCCAGGTGTCTCTGACGTGATTCCTTTAGTATCTTCTTTAGTCGAGTCTTATGGCAATGTAACAGCCAAGCAATGGCAATCACACCTGATGCCCACTTCTGCTGGCGATGAATGAGGAAGAGCTTTCTTGCTTTGTAGCATTTCCATGTGGCTTGGATCTTTATGGCGGCCTCCGTCTCTCCATCTTGGCCCTTGTACCTTTGGCCTGGAAGATTCATCAGCATTTGAACATGAGCTGGGTCCTCTAACACTGAGAGAAAGTCATATCTGGTAAGTTTATTCTTCAGCTCAAACTCTGGAAGGAGGGCCACCAAATGATTCCCTTTAATTTTGACTTCTGGTATTGCATAGTTCCTGAGAAACTTCATGACATGTTCCAAGAGAGAAAAAATACCTCCCCAAGCTAAGTTAAAATGTTCCTTGAATGCTAAGAAGTCTGGGGCTGTATTGTCTATGACACCATCATAAATTAAAAAGTCATAATCCCATGGTGATTTCAGGACTCTTGAAGGTGTTGTGACTTTCATGGCCTGTGGAATAAGAAATATGTTTAAGAAGTGAAAGGTACTATGATCTCCTTTAAATGAGTGGTTAAGACACACACTATCACATTATCATTAAGCATTCAATGGTGGGAAGATATGAATCCTAGTACTGATTTAACACACACACATTATAATATAAAAGTCTGGCTAGTATATATTACTGAAACTCATTACCAGATAGATATCTTAGAGATCACTCATATCTATTAACATTTTTATAAAAGTATGATAAAATTGTACAAGGAAACTGATCATAAAAAATTGTGCAGTTAGTTTACTTTGCTAGTCACCTGACCCCTAATCTGTGTGATTTCGTTTTTACACATGCACGCATGGTCTGAGAAGTGTTGCTGATTCTCTGTTCATAATTTATCTACCAGTCTGAAAAACAGGGTGAAGCTTTCTTTGCAATTCTTAGGATAACTTCAAATGTGCCCATTAAAAGTTGTTTCTGACTTCATAAAAGATCATCACTTTTTAGCATTTTACAGTTCTTCTGCCACCTTCTCTTAATATCCAGAGGTCATTTTTACAAGGAACATTATGTTAACATGTTATCACCTTTGCCATTCTTAGGTTTCTCTTGAGAAGCGTTTTTTATTCTTAAGTCTGGTGTCTTCTTAGGAACGTATCTGGGGCTGTCCCCAGGTGGATTAGAATCAGAAATCTGATAACAAAACCAAGGGAACATTTGCTTTTCATTTCACTTCTATCTGTATGGACATTTTAAGCCATGGAAATATTTGATTTATAATTGGCAAGAGGGGTTTTCTAAGAATTGGATGTTGAGCAATTTTTCTCCTCTTTACAATTTCTATGTTAAAAAATAATAAATGCTATTTAAAAAATCAGATCAGAGGTTGTTTAGATGACAACAGCAGTGCATGTCACCCCCACTTAAAAAAAGGAAAGGGAAATTTTGTTGTGTCAATGTCCACTCTGTAGCCACTATATTTCAATTCTCAGAACCTATTATACTGAAAACATAGACACTCTGCCCATAATCTAAATGTTCCTAATGGCTTGGAGGGGTTGGAGGAGAGGAAGGGTACAGGTTTTCAGGCCCTGAATTCTTGTCAGTAAACCTGGTATTAATTTACTGTAATAGTTATTTCTCGCTTAGGGATATAGGGAATAGATTGTTTTCAATATGTCAGTATTCTCAGATGTATAAGCCCATCGTTACCAAATTGTAGGATTATTATTACTCTTTGCATTTTGAAGTTTTTACAAAACTCAAAGAAAAAATACTCCAGCAATTTATCAACAATGATTATGCCACAGCACTGTGTTGAGTATTACCAGATTATTCATGCATTTTGTTTACTAAATAAATGTTAACAGAGTAATTTTCAAATTCAAGGCAGAAAATTGTCTACAACTAAGCCAAGAGCTGTATTTCCAATAAAAGCACAATAAGCAAATGTAAGAAAAAAATCCTTCAAATTATTTTTCTTTTCTCTGGTCTTGGGTGGTGGGATAATTAATTAGACTGCCATCTCAAGTAAAAATGCTGAAAAACAAGCGTTAAGTCCCTAAGTGTGAATTTTCTTTCACTTTAGAAGCAGACTTTAAACAGCAGTGAGCTTTAGTGTACTTTTGAGTTGTTTATAAGGCATAAAAATGAGGGAAAAAAATCTTCTCACCAAGCTTCTAGCCCTTTCTGATCTAATCAGGGTGCCAGAAAAGAATGCAAGCTGCTTGGTAGATGAAAATAAATTCTTTCTTCTTGGATGGGCAAGAGAAAGTTGGAGAAGTAATGCCTTCTGTAGCAGCCCCCAGTGCTGGCTGGAGGAGCTGCCACTCCTGGTAGAAGACAAGTGGCACATGTTCCAACAAAAATGGCCTATGGGCACGTTGCTGCCTTTCTTCAGGAATGGGCTGTGATAGTAGGAAATGGGATTCAGAGAATGACAGTGCTTCATCAGTGAGAAACAGATATGCAAAAGAACCACAGATGAACATGTTTGGAGCTGGCTGGTCCTGCCAGTCACGTGTGATTCAGTCAACAGGACTCGGACTTCTACAAGAAGCAAAGCTATGAATGGGAGATTTGCCAGAGGATCTTGTCTCCTTGGCAATATTAAAATATTTTTCAAACTTCTTATCTTCACAGAGAGTCATGTGGAATTAGGACCATCTATGAAAATGGGACTACCTTGGGAGAAGTTGAGAAAGAAGAGGACTCATGTCTCTCTCAGACAGTGTCTTTCCATGGGGTTGGTCTAGGGTTTTTATGTACATCAACAAACGCATTTTAGACCTTCTGAGAGAATAGCCTTGGGTGGTGGTGGGGGTAAAATTCATCAGTGGCTATTTTAGAACAAAGGGATGATAGCTTTCTACCTTCTTGGATGATATTCCAGCAAAGACCTGTTCTCAAAGGAAACACACTCCTGGACATCAAACAGACCACTCAGGCACTGGGAAGCTATGGGCTTGGAGTCAGCTAAAGCATAACTGTAGTACATCTGCCACAGAGAATACCACACTTGGGAGCCCTTTAGACTTGGAGCAAGAAAAGACGTGCCTCTCAAGAGAAAGCCTTCCCAAATTAAAGCAGTGCATCAGCATTGTGAGATCCACTGAGCAGGTAAAGACAAAGCTGCTTCACAGCCTGCTAGCAATAAGAGTCCTGATTAAAGGTCATACCATGCTTCAGGTTCTGGCTCCTTCTGTTATTCTTTCTTTATTATTTATCACCGTGAACTTGTCTACTACTATTTGTTGGCTTTCTTTCTTCTTCCTTTCCTTCTTTTTCTTTTCACCTCCCTTTCCTTTCCTCCTTGGTCCCTCTCTCCTTCCCTTCCTTCCTTTTCCCTTCCCTCTCTTTTTCCCTTCCTCCCTCTTTCTTTCCCTCCTTTTTAAAGATGTGCTATCCTCCCAATATGATATTACTGACTTAACAGCAATTTTTTTCCTTTTTTTTTGCAACAGAGTCTTGCTCTGTCACCCAGGCTGGAGTATAGTGGTGCGATCTTGGCTCACTACAACCTCGGCTTCCCAGGTTCAAATGATTCTCTTGTCTCAGCCTCCTGAGTAGTTGGGATTACAGGCACATGCCACCATACCTGGCTAATTTTTGTGTTTTTAGTAGAGATAGGGTTTTACCATGTTGGTCAGGCTGCTCTCCAACTCCTGACCTTGTGATCTGCCTGCCTTGGCCTCCCAAAGTGCTGGGTTTACAGGCGTAAGCCGTTGTGCCTGGCCCATTTTTTTTGCCTTCTAGCTGAGATGGATCTCTGTTGAAACACTGCATTCTCACCTGGTCCTTCTTGGGTCACAACCATACCTTTGTGAGATGCCTGTGTTCACTAATTGGCCTACACAGCCCAAACCTGTGGCCTAATTATAAGCATCTTGCTCTAACTAACTAGCTGGGAAACATTCTTCGCTTGCAAATTGTAATCACTAATTAGATAACTTTGAGAGTTTCTGGAGCAGTTATTTAGGCAAAATTCTAAATCCAAAACAAAAAACAGGAAAGCAGGATGATGATTACTTATGTTAATAAATCACAGATGTGAAGCAAAAAAGATAGACCCAGTGTTGCATTCTAAAATTTAGAAATACTAGCTGGGCATGGAGGCACACACCTGTAGTCCCAGCTACTTGGTAGGCTGAGGTGAGAGGATTGCTTAAGCCCAGGAATTCGAGGGTGCAGTAAGCAATGATGATGCCACTGCACTCCAGTCTGGGTGAAAGAGCGAGCCCCTGTCTCGCAAATAAATAAATAAATAAAATTTAGAAATAACTACCACAGCCAGGCCTGGTGGCTCATGCCTGTAATCCTAGCACTTTGGGAGGCCAAGGCGGGTGGATCACGAGGTCAAGAGATCGAGACCATTCTGGCTAACATGGTGAAACCCCATCTCTACTAAAAATACAAAAATTAGCCGGGTGTGGTGGCATGCGCCTGTGGTCCCAGCTACTCGGGAGGCTGAGGCGGAAGAACTGCTTGAACCCAGGAGGCGGAGGTTGCAGTGAGTCGAGATCACACCACTGCACTCCAGCCTGGCAAGAGAGCAAGACTCCGTCTCAAAAAAAAAAAGAAAAAAGAAATAACTACCACAAAGAAAATCACATTTCTAAGACAAATGTCTTCATGAAAAATGTTATTTTCATTTATGTGGACAGTATATGGGTATAGCATTAAACTGGATTCATAATCAGATACAAGCAGGATCTCCTAGTGGCAAATGGCCAAGTATTTGGGATGATACCACATGGATATCATCTTTAGAGAATGATAATCATTCCGTTGCCTGGAACGATAGACTAAATTCCTTTTAAAACTGAAAGCCAATGTTCAGTTTCTCAAATACTCAAACATATTCATTAGTAATTAGCCCAGGCAATTGCACTGTATGAAGAAGAGTAAGTTCTCCCTGCATGTTACGGCTCTAAACAAGACTTTAGATTCGGAATATGAATGGAATGTCCTTCAGAGATGGAGTCCTTATTCTTTCCCAAAGACCAGGGGGTGCTATTTGTTTGACCCTGCTTTTAAATTTTGTTAATGGTCCACAATATGTTGAGCTTTGTATAGAATAAAGATCACAGCTGGCTAGAACTTTCCAAAAGATGTACATGATGTTCAGAGAATAGCTGACCTAATCAGGGGTCCGGAATTCAGCATAGTCATAGGCCTGAATTTTAAAGGACAAGGGAACTTGAAGGTTACTGGCTTTGTCTTTTGCTCAACAGGTTATTATGGGCCCAGGGAAATGAGTCTTGGCCTTAAGTCTGACTAACCTGGGTTGAAATCAAAGTTTTGCCAATATCCGCTACATCTTCTTGGGCAAGTTACTACATCCTGAACCTACATTTCCTTATCTGTAAAAATTAGAGGTCCCTGCAGAGCTTCTATGATGATTAAAGTATGTGTCAAGAACCTTTAACAGTGTCTTATCCCTAGTCAATGTGGTTTTTACTGTAGAGAAGGAAACTGAGGCTCAGAGAGGTTAAATGACTTGCCCAAGATC